GTGGCCGAGCAGTAACTCAGCCATCGCATCTTCCTTGGTCTAGTGGTGATGATTTCCGCTTGTCATTAACACCGATAAGCGCGGGAGACCGGGGTTCGATTCCCCGAGGGAGAGATTTCTTTTTTTTATATTTCAAATTTTCTTCTACTTTTCTTATCTTTGAATGGCAATTAATATCATGGGCCTTTTCTGGTTCCTTGTCATTGCTGTGATTCATACGATGCGTGATCAATATTTAATATCTACGCACATATGTTGAAGTAAACGACATCGTATTCAAATGTTGCATACCATTTAGATAGAAATCATGGACACAGAAAGAAAAGAAGAAGAAACAGACAAAAAAAAGAGAAAACATACTTAAAAAGGCTCTAGAGATGGAGACATACGGTCATGCATTCAAGCAGGCGTTCCTGCCATCTCTGCCTAAATTTGGGCCTTCCCTATTCCCCCGGATTGCCTCTGCTCTCATCTCCGAACCCAACCTTGAACTCCCCCAATCCATCCCAGTGCCTTTTTATCCGTGAATCTCTTTCGTCCCCGAAATATAATCTCTGAACACTCTTACTCGGATGTCCTTCCTGAAGGTAAAGCGCAAGTACATCTCAAAGTAACCGGCCACTATGGGGTTCTGGGTGGACTGGGAGCTATGGGTGAAGCTGAGTGTGGTAAGTATAGAACTCATGATCACGAAATCCCCTACTGACCATTGTTGTGACAGGTACTGGCCATGCTGATTGTATGTGACTCCATGGTAACGCGACAAAGACTATAACTGACAAGCTTTGCAGGTCCTGACGCTCTTCTGCGCCTTTTGTGTCCTGGGCTGGAATCGCTGGATGATGAACAAATACGCTGCGAAAGAGGCAAAAGAACGAGAGGAAGAAGCTGAGGTGTACCCAATGCTGCACAAGGATGACATCCCTTTCGGCGCCAGAGCGTTGGAGGGAGGAATAGAAGTTGAAGGGATCTGGATTTCAGATCCCAACACCCCGACGCAAAGTCCGTGCCAGCCTGCAACTCCAGTTGCAAGTCGGCCGGCCAGTCCAGCACCAAGGTCGCTGCACAAAACCGTTGACACGCCCAGGTCCTCGGTGGGATCTCTGCGTTCCATGATCAGCCCAAAGCCTATGCCACCGGCTGCCCGACGTGAAGTCGTTTCCGAGCTTGACCTAGCTTCCGCAGGCTTCACGTACGAGAACCACAGACCTGGTGGACTTTGTAGTCGAGCCAGTCTGCCCATCAACCCAAATGCCATGCGCATGTCACCTGCACGAGAGGAGTCACTGATCGGCATGAAGGGCACAACAGGTAACCAAAAGCGGAGCAGCTTCCACAAGCGAATATTCGGTACAACATCTGTTCCGGACACGAAGGACTGCCGAGTAGGATCGGATGGTGCTGATGATGACATGAACAATGTCCCGGACATCAGTGAGTCGTCTTCTGTTCTTTCATCGGAGAGCAAGCGGAGCTCAGGACCCATTAGTAAGTCAAATTTTCCATGATATAGGTGTTGAAGAGCGCAACTAATGCAACGCATTCATAGAACGTCTTCGCCGGCGATCATCCGAAGAGTTCCGACGCAAAATGAGCCAGATCTTCAACGACAATATCCAACTCGGGCTCCCAGACGAGCAGCTGGAGTTCAACCCGGCTCTGCGCCAGTATCAGAAACGGGTCCGGAAGTCGTTGCTTCGTCCTTTTCGTCCGTGGCTCAATGATCCTGAAAATCAATAGTCGGGTGATTCGGTTCGTAAGAGGTCACTGTCTCTCAAGAAAACCGAATTTATCGGAACAAACACATTGGAAGACCTTCAACACCTGCTTTTGCTGGGATATTTAAATTGATTTTGATATGGCGTTGCGGCAGCTCGTGGGTGCTTTTCCAGCACTTGATTTCCCATGAGTCAAAGGAACCCTGAGAGAATATGTTTTATTGGATAGGCGGGGCCTCAGCATGCAGTTCACTTCAGGATTTGTATTCTTACAGCTTTTCTTATTGCATATGTACCGGATAATGGCACTCGAAACCTTTCCCTTCCGTTCCAGCGCTTACCTTGTTGCCGTTTTTTGATCAGGGATGACTTGCTCAGGTGATCACGGGCCATTACATCGTTAACGTGACCTGCTCACTGCTCATGCAGCACTGATTATCCCCTAAGCACCCTGATACACTCACTGATCCTGATAATGGCCCTAATTTGCTCACTGAGTAGTCTTCGCGAAAACGCACAAATGGGTCGAGGACCCCGACCCAAGACCCAACCCACGTAGGTGCTTAATCTTCTAAGAAACTATCGTCACCACCTATACTCTTGGGTTGTTTCTCGAAATCTAATGCCAAATCCACTATGTTATATTGAGTATAGTGATGAAGTATCAATATTCTATAGACTACATGTAATGAGTGGCAAGATAAATGCAGAATAGAAGATAACGGATAAGTAAAAGAAGACGAAGCAGACAACGTGGAAGCACACCCCTAGCTATGAACACAGATACGAGCTATATAACCAGTTTCTGCCGCATGACAATCAATCCAAACTTCGGTTATCAGTGCTTCGAAGACTTGGCATGGAAGTCTGCCAGAACGGCATCGGAAATCTTCAAAGCCATAGCGTAGAAGATAGTCATGACGTGGGAGGATACTTGAGTCGGCGCAATCGAGCCGTCAACCACGCGAAGGCCCTCGACACCATACACTCGAGCCGCAGAATCAACAACTCCACCAAGCTCCTTTGCCATCATCGAGCAGGTGCTGACAGCGTGCCAGTTGGCGCGGAAGTTCTGCTTGACATAATCCACCCACTGGTTCAAGTCGGCATCGTAGGCCAAGTTGGACCCAGGTGTAGTCTCGCCATCAAAGTAGGTCTGCATACCTCCCGTGTTCGAAATATCGCGCGCAAGCTTCGACCCAGCCGCCTGGCCAAGAAGGTCCAGCTCGTTCATGAAGAACTTAGGGTCGTAGGAAAAACGTCGCAGGTAGGGGTCATTTCCCTCGATATGCACGGAGCCACGAGTGAATGGAATCAGATCCCATAAGTCAAAGTTGATCTTGCCGGATGTGTCGAGGAACAGCTCCATATAGGCAACTTCATCATTCAGCCAATCACGGTAGTTCTGATACTGGATTTCAAGAGCAGTCACATTATGGAAGCCACCCCGCGCAACAGTCTCTGTAGCCCATTGATGCAACTTGGTATTGAGCAAGTGATGAGCCTGACGAGCGAAATCTCCAAATGTCTCATTGAAAGTAGCAAAATAGATAGCCTGACCTTGACCATTGCCGGAGGGCTTGGTACGGGAGGCCACGGTAGTGGTGGTTTGGTCCTGCATGTTGAGACCGACAGGTAGATCAACGATTTGCTGGACACCTGCAGCATCGAGTACAGACTTCAAGCCAATACCCGAGTATTCCAGGATTCGGGGGGAGACAGCGGAGCCGGCCGCGAGCAATACCTCATGCTTGGCGTATACATTAAAGTTCACATTCTTGTTAGTGCCGAAGTTTACGCCAACGGCATTGTGACCAGAAATAGTGGTTTGATTGATGAGGACCTTTCCAACAAACTGACCCGTCAGAACCTGCAGGTTCGGGCGCTTGTAGTTGGGCAAAAGCCATTCACGTGCAGCATCCGAGCGAGTCTGGTCCTCGTGTAGCGCATTGGGAATCATAGAAACACCGCGAGGGGCCCCACAGTGAAAATCTTGCTTGGTGGGAACACCACGTTCCTCAGCAGAATCCATAAGAGTATTGATTATTGGAGAATATGCCTCTCCGGTGTTGCGCGGACCAGAATGAACAGTGCCATTCGTTCCATGGCAGGAATAATCATAGTAGTGACCAGCGGCAATCTCGACATCAGTTGGAGGACGGGAGGTCTCGACCTTCTGCATATATGGGAACAGATTGTCCCAGTTCCAGCCCTTGTTGCCAAACACCCTCTCCCAAGAATCGATCTGGGCTTTGTGGGGGCGTGTCCAAGAGCCACCATTGATCAAAGTTGATCCTCCAAGACCATTACCAGATCGAATGTTCTCGGTGCGGTTATTAATCGCGTGAGGGACGATTTCATAGGCGTGGTCGACAGTGGTGCCAAAAATGTCTCCGTAGGCATTCAGATCCTCAGTGATGGCTCCATCGGCGGACTCATAAAAGCCGTTTTCAATGACCAAGACCTTGATGTTGGGGTCCTCAGACAGCTTGGCTGCAACAGTCAGGCCCGTCAAGCCACCTCCCGCAATTATGTAGTCAACTGTCTTGCCGGCAACTTGGTTCGGATCAGAAAGAAGACTGGACTGAACATCGATCTGTTCAGAAGGCAGGTAGCTCTTGGATGCAGCCGCGGAGATAAGAAAGAACGAAAGGATTAGGGAGTTCATCTCGAGTTACAACCTCAAACGGAGGGGAGAAAAAGAGAAAGAAAAGGTCCTGAATCTGTTGCTATACAGTAAAAGTTCTCGAAGACTCGAGAGGGTGGGAATACATAGATTTCTTCCTACATACGCATGAAGCTTCAATCAGAAGGTCGTCACATGAACAGTGATTCGTGTACTCCGTATGCAGACCCGAGGTTGAAGTCGAGCTTAAAGGGTATGTTCGTCGGCTTCATTTGCCAGAGGTAATAAAACTGTGGGCTACTGGATATACGTACGTACTCAAGGACGAGGATCACAATAAGCAGAGCTACTGTCAATTATACAGTTGTACCACCTACTATCAAAGAATATGTAATCGGATTCTGGGGTTCTCTTCCGTCGAAGCATTGCCCACGTGGCTGCTTATATGCAGTTCGTCAGGTCTGTCTCTACACCTTGAGATCTTTCTTGGCTTTGAGGCCTTTATTCCTTTGTCTCATGAGGTTATTTAGAGAGCTTCATGGCAATAGGTACGTTATGATCATCATCGTATGTTTGCGTCGATCACTTTCTTACTTCCTTCGGACACATAGATCCACGTGGATCCACGTGGATCAGGGTCAAGACTTAGTAAAGACCCATGCACCTTGTCTCTGAGCGCGGAAATAGCCTTGCTACTTTCTTCACCGACAACTTGGGTTTGGGCAAAAAGGAACTTTGGAAGCACAGGACGGGCTATGATAGGTAACAATTAAGGTCCAAGTGCGTTATCAATCTTCTAAGTTTCCAGTGTTGGCACTGCCACGTTTTGATTGATAAGATTTAGGCTGGATCAGCCCAAATCCGCTCCCTCGGTGTGCCTGCGGCAAATAAGATATTGAGTACCTAGGTAGGTCTTGAATTGAGTTTAATGCGTAGCCATAAAAGTGGAGACCGACCATTTGGATTTGCCAAGCAAGCTTCTTTAATTAAGATCATCATAGCATGATGATTCCCTTCGAATTTTTTATCTGATCCGAGAAGGGACACAGTGGAGATGGTTCCGAGAAAGCATTGGTGCGCTGACATACGGAGTACAGCTGAATTCTTCAGCTAAATTAGTGTAGTGTGTTTGATTTACCTCGCTAACTGCGTTTAATGCCGAGGCATATACCCTGCATAACAAAAAGGGCAAGCTGAAATAGTGAATAATGTCATAGATTTTGTGCATATTTTATTCTCAACTTCCCGCTATGCAGGTCACTGTCCACCCGCCTGATCGACGATGAGGCAATACGGATAAGAATGCTCCATTCGAAAAGCAAACTTTGCTCGAGAGTGGAGCGCCTCATCAAGCCGTTGATCGGAAGTGGACATGCATTTGAAAGATGAGCGAATTTGAGTGTATATAACTTGCCTTCGCTCTCCGTTTTCCTTCGGACCTTCGTCTTTTCAGTGCGAACGCTCACCCAATCATTACTATTGCGAGAATTTCTCTTGTTAGACGGTTTTATTTATAGTTTGAGCATTCATATTCCTGTGAGTCTTTCATTCGATTTCTCTAATGCCAGGTAGTTTGCTGACATTTGACATTCTATAGATATCAAGATGCTGAGCCTTAAGCCAGCTCTCTTGTTGTTGCTGCTGCACGCAGTGTTCAGCTCCGCCTACCGCTGGTTCAATTGGCAGTTTGAGGTCACTTGCCAGTCTGACGCCTACATTGCTCCTCATAATGAGCATGCTGCGGCCAGGTTCCTCAAGGAACAGTACCCGAAGGGCTCCCATATCAAAGTTGTTGGGAATGGCCATGGATTCGGTAACCTCACTACCTGTGTCGACAATACTCTCACTGAGAAGCCCACCTACATCGTTTCCTTCGCCAATCTGAAGAAGCTTAACATCGATAAGAAGAACATGACCGTCACCTTTGGTGCTGGCTGGGATGTCGATGACCTTATCCAAGAGCTGAAGACCAACGACTTGTCCTTCAGCAATCTCGGCGTCGAGCGTGTTCAGAACTTTGTGGGTGCTGCCTCCACCGGTACCCACGGTTCTGGATCCGACCTCGGTAATATCGCAACCCAGATCATTGGGCTGCGTGTGTTGGACTCCCAGGGAGGCCTTCGTGTCATCGATGAGAAGCACAATGCGGAAGAACTGAAGGCTTTCCGTATCAGTCTTGGTGCCCTCGGTTTGATCACGGAGTTGACTATCAAGGTCCAGCCTACCCAACTCCTGAAGAAGACCACCAAAGTCTTGAATGCCACGACCGACTACTCGCAGATGTACAATGAGCTTGCCCAACTGTACAAGGAGCACGACCGCATGACTGTTTGGGGTCCTCACTTCGACTGGAATGCAAAGTCTCAGAGCTGGGACCTCGAGCCTACTTACTTCCTCTCTTACTGGGAGCCAACCAACTACACCGGTGTTCGCAACTGCACTCTCAATTATTGCGCCAACGGCTGCGGCGACTGCTTGAAGGAGTACATCTGCTACGACGAAGTCACTGATGCCGCCTCCTGCTCTCCGCAAGGAGTCTGTTCTCGAGGCTTCTACGCCGAGATCGAGCACTTCCTTCCTATCGAGTATTTCGCGGAAGCCGCCACCAACTACACTATTTACCAACAGGGCCAGACGCCTCGCATGAAGGCTCCCTACAACAAGCAGATGGTCATGCAGCACCGTTCGCTCAAGGGTGACGATACATACTTGTCCCCTGTTAACACCTACAACCTTGGCCCCGAGCTTAGCGGTGTTTTCGGGGTCATCGAGATTGACTGGATCCAAGAATATAACAACTTCACCACTCTCTGGCAGAACCAGGAATTGGCCTATGAATTCCTCCCGCAATTTGGTGAAACTTACAACGCTCGGTCCCACTGGAATAAGATGAGCGCTCCTAATGCTACCTACACCCTGGAGAAATTCCCGAAGCTGCCCGAGTTCTTGGCCATCCAGAAGCGTCAGGATCCCAAGTGCCAGTTTGTCAACGAATTCCTGGTTGAGCAGCTTGGTATTACCCGCTGTGCGGACTATATCTCTGTATAAGATGCAACCCGAGTGGTCTGAGCGACTCTTTTCTTTTCTTTTCCTTTTCTTTTTTTACAGGGGTGAAGCGGTGGCCAATATGTCACTTGGAAAACACCTCTCCCACCGCAACTTCTGTCCTAAGAATTGCTCGAACAGAATGTGTAATTGAATGAGCTTTGTGTTGAGCCTGGTGCCATCCCTCAGTTGTTTTGCTAGCTATGTACATATAGTTTCCGAACCAATTCATCCGTCACCGTCAGTTCTCCCTTCCTGAGCTAATGCTCAATACTTCGAATGTACGATTCTAGGCTCGGTTCCTTGATACTGCTTCAATCGCTTTCTGTAAACTCGTCTGGCAGTGCAATAGGGTGCCTACGGCTGCATATCGAAGCATTGGCGTCCGATCCACCGGGTACACAGTAATCGGTCCATCCCAACGAAGATCCTTGCTGACCACTTAGTTATAACATAGCAAAAGAAGGGGGGGAGAAGTAGACACATGCGCTTCCACGCATTTGAAAGAGAAATAGTTTGCTTCTCCAAAACCGGAAAGGCTCAAGGCAGCACCGCCCCACGTGATCTCGCGATCCATCTGACGCGTCCGAATTGTTGACTCGGAGTCATCCTGAGATTTCTACCAGAAACGTACGCTTCAGACTTTTCAGACTTTTCAGACTCTGCACAATCACAGATTTCCTCTTTCATTGGCTGATTAGTTGAAATCTGTGGCTTTGTTTGGTCTTCAAATCGAGGAGAGCGAGTACCCATCTCATCCAAACGCGTCTATTTGAGTGGATCCGTCATCCGTGCTTTCGAGTCGAGAGATCCCGCCGAAAAGCAATCAAGATCCTGATAACACTGAAAAGCAAGCGGTATTACTACTAGGATGGAGGGAGAAGAGCAATTCGATGAGAATGGGCTTCCTGGCCCGGGTGCCCCCACCCCGCTTTCTGCGCTCGACGTGAGTGAATGCCGCGGCGATCTGCCTTTGCAGCAGAATATTGGACTGTTATACTAAATTTGTTGTCATAGGGTGTCTCTGGCTTGACTGCTAGGGATATCAAGTTGTTCGTGGATGCAGGGTATAACACTGTCGAGTCTGTCGCCTATACGTACGTATCCCTGATGCTCACGTTCATTGCCGCTTTATTCTTCTCTAGCGGAAGCACTGCTATATCAATTGCCTGTTCAGCTAAATCTAGCTAACACTCACTGTGGCTTTTAGGCCCAAGCGGTTGTTGGAACAGATCAAGGGTATCTCAGAACAAAAGGCCACCAAGATCCTAGTAGAAGGTAAGTCCCCTTCTGCGATACACTATAACACTTCATTGAAGATTGGTTCGCTAACGAGGCTGTGCCGATTAGCCTCAAAACTGGTGCCTATGGGGTTCACCACGGCAACCGAAATGCATGCCCGGAGAAGCGAGCTCATCTCGATCACGACGGGGTCAAAGCGACTGGACACATTGCTCGGAGGTGGTATTGAAACGGGGTCGATCACGGAGATTTTCGGAGAGTTCAGGACGGGAAAGAGTCAGATCTGTCACACTCTCGCGGTGACATGCCAGCTGCCCTTTGATATGGGTGGCGGCGAGGGCAAGTGTCTTTACATCGATACAGAGGGAACCTTCCGTCCAGTGCGATTACTTGCGGTCGCGCAGCGATACGGACTTGTTGGAGAAGAGGTCCTTGATAATGTGGCATACGCACGAGCATACAACTCGGACCATCAGCTCCAGTTGCTTAACCAGGCCTCCCAGATGATGTGTGAGACGCGATTCTCTCTCTTGGTCGTCGACTCGGCGACGTCTCTGTACCGAACCGATTTCAACGGTCGTGGTGAGCTCGCCTCGCGGCAGACCCATTTGGCTAAGTTCATGCGTACCTTGCAACGCCTTGCAGATGAATTCGGCATTGCAGTCGTGATCACGAACCAGGTTGTTGCCCAAGTCGATGGTGGCCCCAGTGCCATGTTTAACCCGGATCCCAAGAAACCTATTGGTGGTAATATCATCGCTCATGCCAGTACCACTCGACTCAGTCTGAAGAAGGGCCGCGGTGAGACTCGAATTTGCAAGATTTATGATAGCCCTTGCCTTCCAGAGAGTGATTGCCTTTTCGCTATCAATGATAATGGTATTGGTGATCCTAGTGAGAAGGATTTGGAAGATAAGTGAGTCTGGCGTCATAAGGTTGCGCTTCTTTTGTTCTCCGACACGATGTTATTGACTTGGTGAGCAAAGGTTACATTCAATAGCTGTTATGTGATTAGACGCCCTGTGGCATCTCAGTCTTGAGGGGGGTGAATATCTTTTTGAAAGTAGCGAATTTAGAAAGCAATTTCTGTCTATTCTTAAATAATATCACCTTGGAATAGAGTGAACTGTAGAGTAAAACAATGTGTAAGTGGCCTAAGAGTAAACGTCGAGGGCGGAGGCCATCAACCTCAGGCCTTTTATCGCGCCAAGACTTCCCATGTTTTTTGAGAGCTCCAGCTTCCCGCCCTTCAATCTTCCAACCTTTCTACTTCCCCGGCCATGGAGTGTTAAGTTGACACACGTCAATCGATCATGGCGAAAATTTACAAAGACTCAAGGGTCGACCTTCGGCCCTACTCGTCGACCACCGTCGCCAACATCCAGATTCCGACTCAAGAGACCGCGATCCGTCGTCCACGCTTTTCGATCTCATCCTCCGACCAGGAAGTCCCAATCGCCAAAGATGAAGACGAATTCGCCAGACGTTACCTTGCGACACAGGGTGAGGTCTACTTCCGGAAGCGCAGGGTCTATCCGAGGACATTCTTGTGGAGGGTCATCAACGACAACAAAGTGCTGGAGATCCAGTGCGCGGACCTGACGAAGGGTGGGACGGAAGTTTACGAATACAATGTGACCCTGCGACTGGATTTCCAGGAGCGGATTCTCCCCTTTGGAGTTGAATTGGCCGACTCCGAGGATCACGAAATCATCAATGTCTTTGTGATCACCGCCTCGAAGCACCTTCACACCCTGTCTCTACGCCCCGAATTCTTCCGCCGGACCTCCTCAATCGATGAAAATGTGAGGGATTGGTGCAAGACGTGCCTCCCCGCTCCCTTGGCCTTTTCGAGCCCCCACCGACTACACGCGAGCAGTCCCCTGGAGTTATTCATCTCTCTCGATAATGGCGCGCTCCTGCGCCTGACCCGGAGAGCTGGCGATGATGGTAAGTGATTTTTCTCCTGCTACCTTTCGCGACGATCGTTTTATTAATTGCTTCTGAAACTAGGTTCCCACTGGTCTCCTCTCACTTTTGATGAACGAACATGGGGCTCTTCGATTCGAGGCCTCGTCAAATGGCACGCACCCTCCTCGATCAAACACGACGGACGCAACCTCGATTTGAATGTCGCCAATGCCATTGCCACTACCTCCGACGAGACGTACGTCTTCGCGATTTGTTTGAACCACACTCTTAAGATTTGGAATCTCGCAACGAATAAGCTAGCGGCCACAAAGGATCTCCTGGGACGCTCGCTTCAGGATCCGGATCTTGTACCTTACACGCTCAACCCCGCGCAGGCATCATTCATGCGCGTCTTCAACGCTGAGCGGTCAATGGATGGTGGACATCGCTTCTATGTCGTCACATATTCACCATTTGAGGACGGCAAGTTCAAGTTTTGGGCTGTCAAGGGTGGCCTGACATCCGAACTCATCATTGAGGAACTCTTTGCAGATGATGTCTTCCGACCTGTGGACCCGGACGCGGGTAATATGTTCTGGAACATCGCTGATTTCCAGGTCAAATCGCGGGAAGAAGGCAAGGGGATGGAGTTGTGGGTGCTCTGGAGAAACCACGGTCTTTACCAACTCTACACCCTCCATTTCAATCTCCAGACTTTAGTTACGGATTGGGCCTCCAACTGGGTTTCGACAACATTTGAAACTCATCGACAAGAATCGCCACCACCTTTGGTCGTGGATGATGTGGTGGACCCCACTGAAAAGTGGCTACAGTATCTCTTGCAGCCGAATAGATACATGCCGGAAGTCCTTGAGACTGCTCTGGCCGTTTATCAGGAGGCCATCAAGCCACTCTCGTCAACTTCATCTGGAGGGCTGAAAAAGAGTTTGCCTTTAGCGGAACGACTCTGCTCTACAATAGCAGCAGCAGTCTCTCTTCGGAAATTTGCTGACGAGGAGATGGACTACTCGCGGTATACTTCAGATACAGATTCAAAGTGGCGTCAGTTCTGGCAAGTTGCGGAAGACCTTAACAAACGCCGCTTCGAACCAATTTCTCTCGCCTACGACTCATACGCCGATATGCCGTGGCTCCTTCTGTCAGACTCATGCGCTGTGGTGCGGGAATGCAGTATTACTGAATTGTTCTTGCACAATTCCAGCTCCGAGCTCAGCGATGGAGTGCCGAAGATGGTAGATCGCTGGAGGCATCGCAATGTTTCAAGAGAGCTGGGCCCGCATTTCGAAACAGCCTCTGGCCTGTTGAAGGTGGCATCCGATTTCCGGAAAAGGTTCTCCCAAGAGCTTGACGGGGCGTGCCGAGCCGCTCTTCAGGCCGAAATCTTTTCTGAGCCTTCTTCGTCGATCCTGGACCGCATGGAGAACTTCCGAGAACGCTGCGACTTTGCCAACCAAATATCCAACAAATCCTTCGACGCCCTAGACGCGGCCCTGAGCGAATACATGAGAACCGATTGCTTGTCCATGGATGCGTTCTTTGCCATTATCCAAACCGCCTCCTCCCACTTCTGCGGAGAAGACTCGGAACTTGCTTCAACCTGTTTTGGTGCTCGAGTTCTAGTCAGTGGTGCGCAGGAGACTATTTCTATCTCTCGTCAAATCTTTTTCGATCTACTAATCCTCGTCACATTCGTGGATAGCGAATGGGAACAAACAAGCAAGTCCGACTTCGATGCGTCCGACCTTTTCTCAATGCTTGTCGATCTCCTACGTGAATATGAGATGATGGCCTGGCTCAGCTCGAATGTCCGCAAATGCCCCGACAGCAAAAGCAAGTCCCGTGCCGATTCAATGCAGAGATATCCACTGAAAGACAGCTCGAAGATTAACAGTCAACGAACTGCAAGCATCCTGGAGGATCTGTTTGTTACCGATATCAAGCCCCAACAAGCGATTGACTCCCCACAAAGCTACACCTTGACTTTGGGGATCAGAGATGTTGTGGCCTGGATTACCCGCGAAGGTGAGGTGAACTATCAAAACGCAGTGGCCCACATCCAGTGTGACCTGATCGCCAAGAACAACATCGATCTTGCATGGGACTTCCTTCGTTTCCAGGCAAGTACTTCCTGGTCAACGTATGTCAAGGGTCGCTTGCATGTGGCTATGTCGGAATTCGATACCGCAGCAATCTACTTCCGGAAGGCAGCTTATCTGCTCTGTACGTATCTCCTGGTGATTCCTCGTGCTGGTGTAACTCGGCTAACCTAAATGCAGCTTGCGGCAAGCCAATGGGCAATCTTTCCGACATGTCGGCAGAGCTTTTAGACCTCCTCGATGTTGACTGCTTCCACAACGGTCTTGCGAAGTACTACCAGCACATCCTTTCGATTTTTGAGAAAGTGCGCTCATACTCCCATGTCGCGGACTTTGCCAGCCTGGCGCTGCAGGCCCTTGACTCTGAAGTTTGGGCCGAGCAAGACTCCGAATACCCGACCGTACGCGACGATCTGCTGTCTCGCCTGTTCACTGGAGCTCTCAAGACTTGCCAGTTTGACCAAGCATACTCCGCTCTGGCTAGGTTGCAGGATCTCAAATTACAGAGAACCGAGCTTAGTGAACTCATCTCCACCATACTGGCAATTTCCGGACCCGGCACAGGTGGTCTTAAGCAGATTCTTCGTTTCCCCACCTCACTCGTGCCCAACATTGCATCTTTCATTGACGAGATCCTCGTTCACCTGACCCGCAAACAGACCACCAACGTATCCTGGTTGGATGCGGACAACAAAATTTTCCCAGCCACCACCGACTACACTCGCATTCTCCAGGCCTATCGCATTGCCCGCAGTGACTACCGCGGGGCCGCTGAAATCGCCTACCGCAACGTCCAGCGCCTCCGCAAAGCACGAGACGCCCCGTCATCAGCCCTCACCCTCAAAGGCAGGGAAGCGGACGATGCAGCCCGGTTGCCAGTTGAGGAAGACGATGCCGAAAGCAAGGAAATCCGCCATGAGTTGTTGTCACTAATCAACCTCCTCGCTTGTGTCGACAAAAGCGAAGCATACATCCTGGTCGAGAACGGACCACCGATCAGCGCCGCCCCGGTTCCTTCATGGGAAGGACGCCCAAGCACGCAAGCCGATGAAGATGGAAACGTCTCGATGGAGGACGTCGACGCGGCCTCCCCCACACCACTTGGAGGCAAACGCCGATCATCCAATGCCGTGGCTTTCGCACCCACCCACCGCAGAGGAAGCAGCAAATCTTCCGCCATCGAACGGCGTAACAGCATCGTCTCCTTCGAAGTTCCTGCGACCAATCACTTGCTTAAGCGTCGTATCATCGTCACTCTCGAGCATCTGCGTCGCGAATTCCAGTCTGAGCTTGACCGTGTCAGCCGGATTGAGCGTGGAGACTGGGAATTTGGTCTCGACGATGAGAAGGATGTGGATAATGATGAAACGATGGTTCTGTAGTCGGGACTCCGCGGGGGACTTATCTATGACTCTTTGCATTTTGGCCGGTTGCAACGGCCACCTCGAATTTGATCTTCTTTTGTTCCAATGTATGGATGGTACTTGACATGGGGTGTTTTCATTTCTTTTTTTGTTGGGTAGTCCATAATCGGATGTGGTGCAAAATAGGATTTGCTTTTCTCGTTTCTTTCTAATACGATAATTCACGGGAGCTTATTTTCGAGGAGTTGAGCTCAGGGATATGTTCTGTTTCACCACAAGGGCTAGCCTCTTGATCGCCCAAGGTTTCGTAGTAGGTCCATTGTTCTCGTATTCGTACAAGCTGGATCTATCCCCGAGGATAGTATTAGGTATTTGTTTCGGACATATTGGGATATAACTAGGCAAGTTTCAATTGAATGTCAAAATTTTCTCGAGGAATTTCTGGCGACTTTCGAAATAGATGCAAGTTATGTGAGATATATATATTCAGCAACTTATACGGTGTCCCAGCATCATATCTATATAGCATATGAAAATGGGAGCAGAATAAAGAGTGATCTATCCAAGTGAACTACATATATTTTGTCTATTATATTATTGATCATACCGGATAAGTATCGCGGGCTGTAAAGTGTTGCTCCTCGACCATATACAGAGAAAGAAAAACCAATGCAACAATCCCTTCGATTTACTAGAGAGAAATCGGAAGAGTTACAAAGTCATATTTGATACTGTCAATACTCTAAATTATCAAGATAGAGCGTACAGATCAAGAGTCAAGAGCTAAATAAAGGAGTTATGCATAAATGTCACTCCAAAACGTTCTAAAGTATTGAAAGATAGTCAAGAAGAGCATAATAATCATCACAGCAGAGCAAAGAATAACATGAACCAGAACCAGAACCAGAATACCCAATATATAACGCCAGCGACGACCAGCAAAGGCCCAAAAAACCAGTATGTTGTTGTCGATATGTACCTCGAGAAAGGGAATGTGGAAGATTGTCACGCCAAAAGAATTTCGAAAATAACCGGACGCTTCAACCTGTACAGGTGCCAAAATCAATCAAACAACCGACCCGAAAATCCTCAAAAAAATAACAAAAAAGAGGAATTAATCTGATTCCTCTGTCGCCGTCGCACTCGCATAAAGTTTGCTAAAGTGCGACTTGGGCTCAGTGAGAAGCGCGAACGGTTCCCCATTCTCAACAATGCGACCAGCGTCCAAGACAACGATACGATCGAAGTCGAGGATTGTGTCGAGTTTGTGTGCGACGGCGACGATAGTGTGATTACAGAATTTCTCTCTGATGACACGCTGCATGATCTCATCTGTTTTGGTATCGATGCTGTTCGGAAGTGGGTTAGTCTTGGTTCTCGCAGCAAGGGGTTATATCGGTGTGGCTAAATTGTACAGATCGCAAAAAGGCTCATGCAGGGGGATTGGGAACAATAATTGTGAAGTGGATAAGTGGGTCGAAGCGAGGAGAACTGTGACTTACTTGCTAGTTGCTTCATCCAAAATGAGGATGTTGCCTGGACGAAGAAGGGCGCGGGCAAGACAGAATAGCTGCTTCTGGCCGTGAGACAGGTGGATCTCGTCAACGTCTGTGTCGAGATTCCCCTTTTCTTCGATCGCAGGGAGGAGCTGGACGCTCTTGAGAGCTGCCAAGATGTCTCGGTCGGTATGGCGGCCTGTTGGATCGGCGTTCAATCTCACGCTGCCTTTGAAGAGGAGGGAGTCTTGTGATACGCCGTTGATGAGTGAGCGGATCTCCCGTCGGGGAAGTCGACTGATGTCAACTCCGTCCACGGTGATGGTGCCGCTGGTTAGTTCCATCATTCGGAAGATGCTCATGATCATAGAGGTTTTGCCACTGTTGATTTTGTCAGAATAGAGTAGGATATTGAATCAGAGATGGATTTCTTACCTTCCGGTGCGTCCGCAGATGCCGACTTTCTCGCCTGCCTGGATGGTAAGAGAGACATCGTTGAGAACTGGTTCGGAGGGTCTGTAAGCCGCAGAGACGGAGTTGAAGGCGACCGCACCCTTTGAAGGCCAGTTAGGGGGCACATCTTGGTCTTCACCAGGCTTGTCTTCCAACTCGACAGTTGACGTAAAGTCCTTGATGCGCTGAATGGAACCGATATGCGTCTCCAAGTTGGTCCAGAAAGTAACCAGAAGCTTGATGCTCTGACTGAACTGGATAACGTTCAGGAGGGCGACACCAACGTAGCCTGCGCTGAGGGTAGATCCACGCAGGGCAACGACCAGCACGATCAGAAGAACAGCGATTCCCGCCACAACCATGTCCAGCGACAATGTGAGCCAGCGCTGGATAGCGAACATGAAGTAAAAGGGTCGTTGCGAGTGATCCAGGAGAGCGATGTTCTTCTTCTCCATGGCGTGTTGCCATCCGAAGGCCCGCAGAGTCACAAGGCCTTGAAGACAGTCGGTGAAGTGCGAGTACAGCGGAGCCTTGGCCTCGATATCCAAGTAACGAAGCTGGCGCGAGGTGCGCAGGTACATCTTCTGAATCAGGAACAAGATACCAAGGACGATCGGGAAGGAGATAGCTGCGTATTTGGAGGAGACTCCAATGAGAGCCATCTGTGCTAGACAGAGGAAGAATGTAGCAACAGTGTTGATTGCAGCTATAGGAAGCTCCATATCGATGAGTTGCAAGTCTTGACTGAACCTGTTAAGGATTGAACCGCTGTCCGTAGTGGAAAAGAACAGCATCGGAGCGGCGAGGACAGTGGTCAGCAGCTTGCGGTGGAAGCTCTCGCCAGATTTTGGAACCATGGTGATGATCATTTGCCAGCAGCCGGCAATCAGTGCGAGCATAGCGACACAGCCAAGCATCGCGTAGATACCGAGATAATGACCGATCTCCTGCTTGGGGTGTTCGGTGTCGGACTGGGCCCACCATTTAACCCAGATGCTGGGGAATGAGATGCAGAACACAAAACCGGCCATTGCGACCATGAAAATAATTGCAGGGAGCCATCCAATGGCGTCGATGTAGTATGTGTAGATTCCGAGATCGCCACCCCGGTCGTGATGCTCTGGGTTTTGGATTACAGCCTCCTTTTCTTTCTGGACTGTGTCCATGCTGCTGTAACTGGGAGAGTCGGAGAATCGCTTAGGCTTGTATTCCCAATCGGGCAGCCCGAGTCCAAAGCTTGACACATATCCACCGGTCTTGTTCAGAGCAGCAAAGCTTCCCTGTTCGCCAATCCGACCACCTGCCTCTAAGACAACGATGTGGTCGGAGTAGGCAAGACGTTTGACAGAAGATGAAGCGACGATGACTGTAGATTCAATTTCCTTCAGAAGTCCTCTGGGCCCTAAAAGGCTGTGGAAGATGTGGTTTTCCGTGGTAGCGTCCAGACCACTGAGGGCATCATCGAGGATCACGATCTTTCTCCGGGCATAGACTGCTCGTGCAAGTGCGATACGTTGGCTTTGACCCCCACTCAGGGCGACACCTTTGCTTCCGATAACAGCAGCGTCCCGACGAGGGAGCTGTGCGAGGTCTTCTCCCAGAGCGCAAGCCTGAATCACAGAGGCATACCATTGAGGATCATAGTCAGACATCGCAACGATGCTGTCTTTGATGGTGCCATTCATGTGCCACGGCGTTTGATCACAGTACGCAACGCTGTGAGATGCGAGTGCAACCTTGCCCTCGGAACAGGGGATTTCTCCCAGGAGAGCCTTGAGCAAAGTAGACTTGCCGCACCCAGAGGGTCCAATGAGAACAGTGAAGCTGCCTCGGGGGATAGTCATGGTAATGTCCTTGAGAATATGATCCTTGTCGGCTTCCCATCCAAAGCTTCCACTTTGGACAACGACAGCGTTCGCAGAAGGCAGAGCACTGCAGCGCTTGAGCGACTCGACAGAGTCTGAGTTAATGGAAGAAAGGTCAAGGTCCTTCGACAACTCTCGCTTTTCAGCGAGATCATCGAGGAACAAAGTCTGCGAGGAGCTATTCCTGCGATCAGCGTGGTCCTCTTTGTCCAAGAACTGTTGAATGCGCTGGAAAGACCCGACCGCGCCAGCGAAAGACATAAGTGCCATCACCAAGGTCAAGAGAGGGTCTGCAAGAAGCGAGAACAGAGACAGGGATGTGAAAGCCCGAGAGACAGTCAAAGGATTGCTTGAGATGCCGACATAAACACCGAAGGTGAAGATGGGGGCAAAAATGCGAGTCAACCAGGCAAAAGCCATGTTGTAAACGAGAAGGGTACGGAACTTCTTGGAGATATCCAGCTCGCTGATCCGAAGACCGTGAACGAACTTCATAAAGGAATCCTGCAAACCGAGCATCTTGACTCCCTTGATCGAGCCAAGCATCCCAGAAGTAGAGGAAATGCGCTTCTCGATAGCTTCCAGCCACTTGGCTTGTCGTGCGACTACAAAGGACATGCCGACCAACGATCCAACCAAAGCAAACAGAGCGACACAAACAGGAACAACACAGGAAATTCCAAGCTGAATCTTAAGAAGATAGATAGCTAAAGCAATCTCAATCGAGTTTGCCCAGATCTCATGCATGGTTTGCCATCCGTTTGTGATGCGCTCGACATCTGCGCTCATCAAAGTGAGAGAGTTGGCGGGATCGGTCTCCCCGAGGTTCAGACAGCTGGCTTTCTTGTATAGCATTGTGACAAGAACACCACGGACCATGGTAATCCCGCGGTATGTGAGATGCTGATACTGGCCCATTGAAACCGCCAGTCCGGCGTAAACCATGAGATAGGCGCCAATCAGTCCATACCCAATGTTTTGGGTACCCTGGTTGACGGGCGAATTGAAGAAAGAGAGCGATCTCTCTAGGAGTAAAGGCTGGCAGAAGTTGAAGGCCACAACGCAAGCTCTGGCAGGAACACCTGCAAGCAGAGGCCATTTGACAGCCTTCAATGACTCCCATTGGAGAGTGTTGGGTGATTTATTTGTCACTGAATAAAGATTAGCAGAGACACATAACAACCGCATATCGCCGGGACAGATAATAACCTTTGCTCCATTTCTCGTCAAATCGAGCCAGTAGGCGCTCGGAGCTCAGTTCTTTATCTAATAAGAATAGATCCTCTACACGCAGGACACCGGTGAAGCCGATCTTAAACAGTGGGTTCAGCCACCAGAACACAGCACGGTTATAGAAACCTGCAGTCGCTTCTGGAGGATAACCAGTATATTCCGATTTGAGAATGTGTCTCTTCTCTACGGCCTCGAGCACGAATAGAAGTAGTCTGACACCCACCGCTACTGTAGCGACAATGGCAAGGATATTATTGAAGGCGTCCACACTGCGAAGCCACAGGGTTCTAGACCGAGCGACATCGAAAAGCAGGCTGCAGAAGAGGTAGGTGTTCAAAATGAACGAGGGTCGCACAGAGCGCGTGTGTTCTGCATATGAGAGCAGAGCGAGAGCGAGTACGCCGATGGTCAGGAGCACATTGGCTGGAACCGACGCCTTAGTACTGTCGGCTGCCGGAAGGGCCCATAGGGCTGTTTGTGCAATTTGCAGACCCAATAGTGCCAACCAAGCCGCCTGTTCAGAGGTGGTTATTAGATAAAATTATTCCAATTTGAATGGTTCACCAATTCCAATGACCAGGGGGTCTTGGGGGTTGCATGCGAACTGCAGCAAGCAGAGCATAGCAACACAGTCAACTTACAAGCTTGATGAGGACCAACCATGATCCCACAACTTTGTTTCGTTTTTGCGAGAGATGCCACAGACGGACAGGAATAATGATTAGCATTAATAAAATAGGTAACATCTGGAGGATAGTCTCCTCAAACAAAAGAGAGAAATCGAATCCTCCGCGACAGGATCCAGCATCAATACGTAGAGTATGATCTAGATCGCGGCACGAAGGCCCTGAATAGCGAGAGGATGTCATGTCTATTCCTTGAACCACCTGGCGACAGAAGGATGGTTGAAGAAAAGAAAGACGCAATAACGAGCGGCACGGGGAATTAGAATTCAAAAGAGTGTATGGTTAAAGAACTTGCATGAGAGCTCGGGGAACTTGCGGCCTTTTGGTCTAGATCGGATGCATCAGAAAGTGACATAAGAACAGTCAGCTTTACTACTAGATCATCACAGTAAAAGGTACATAGGGCTAAACGAGGTGCGTATCCCTCTAGGCAGGAGTTCATTACATCTAGGAGAACTACAACCCTGAGCTCACCCTTATGCCCCTGTTACTGGTTGGCTGCATCAAAGTGGGCATGAATACAACACTCGATGCAACCATCTTACAATGATATTACTGGCAATGCCCTGTGAGCTCATCTAGGCTCGGACCAGGTGTGTATGGGTCCATTCAGCTGCATCTATTTTGGGTTGTTTTCCTTTCTCTTGTTTTGTTTTGTCTTACTATAAGACCTTGGGAGATTGGACTGCCATTTTATGACCCCACTTCGGTCGTCAATAGTGGTCCTGATTCTCAAGGCAAATTGCGGATAGGTTGTTCTGCCCCCTTGAAGATGTGGGGGATGCAATAGAATCACTAGATCTGCTCGCCCCTGGAGTCAAGGAAACCTTGAGTAAATCCCGAGCAACACGAGGGAGTCGTGTTACCTTGCAGAAATAAAATAATCAGAGTCGAATGAGTCGAATGACCTCCAATGAGTTGCGATGGCGAATGTCTAGTGCATATGGCCCAAGTCACCGAGTCGACTTAGGGCAAAGAAGCCGCTCATGTGAGGGAGAGATGCATCCATCTGTATGATGGGAGATCTGCCGCATTGGGCTGGAAATATCCTTCGTTACTAATATATTATAATTTAATATAATTTATTCCTATGCTTGTTCTTACTTTCCTTACGATATATATATATATTTCCCAAACTCTGCTTGACCGCAGAAGCTGAAGTCGGACACGGTGAAGCGAATCGCTTGGATCTTCCATAGTCGGACCATTTGAAATGAGATGTAGATTCCAACTGGTTTCTGCGAGTTTTCGTCACGATTATAATTGCGCAAAATCGAGTCTCTAGTGCCTAACTCCACCTGTCATCGCGTCCTTTCTTGCTTCTATTCACTCGGCAGTGGCGGGTAGCTATTCCCAATTCAATTCATCCGGGCCAATCGTTCCTTTTTACTAAACTGATGGGCATGGCCCACATTGAATCGTTTCGGTGTTTTCGGCTGTGATCGGCATTCCTGATTCAAATTGAGGCCGCCAAACCTGAAATTTTGCATTATTCCAAGACGTGGTCGAGACGTGTGGTTCGCGTGGCGGGCGCTGGGCCAATGTGCATGAGTCGGGATCTGTACCTACAGCTGGAGTGCCAACTATCTCCGAGGCAGCCGAACTGACCAGGGTCGGCCGGTCTAATTTTTCTTTTCTATTGTCTCAAAAGCATGGTTGACGGGTGGCGAATCCTCTGCATGGTGATCCCCACTGATGTACATTTGTATACCATTTGCGCTCACATGTGCAGTTGATTCCAAATTATCCTGCGGCGGAGAGACATTCCTGTATTTCTTTTGGTACATTTTGTACTTGTATGTCGATAGATACTTTGGAAAATACGATTTATTTCCCTGTGACTTTGGAGCTCAAAGCGTGCAGAAATTTCATAATGTGATATATCGAGTAATCAATAATGGGATGGGCCTGTCAAGTTCCCCATTGTTGCTAGTCCATCGACGCCGAGCTGCGGGCGCTAAGTTAGCCGACGGCGCCACAATTGCCAACTAGGCTGGGTAGCTTCTGGATCCCTCAACACTAGTGTTATATTGTTCTAATATCGGGGCCTTACCCGTATGGATCTCTGAAGGAAGAAAATCCCGTGTTCCTATAGGTGCATGCACTCCGCTTCATGTCTTAGTTGGTGAGAATAGCGGGCATACAAATGTACGTTCCAGATCTCGCTTATACGAGACGAATTCGAGAAGACGGGAAAAGAAAAGAAAAAGAAAAGAAAAGAAAACGTGAGGAAGCAGGAAAAAAAGCAATATACTTACCTGCACCACACGAGTCCATGTTTTTGACTGGACATAGTCGGAGGAACTGAACGGAGTACGGAGCAAGATATTTTGTTCCCCCTTTCGCTTGCATTTATATCAATATTCTCCTCTACATGGATTGAGCTATTGGAATATCGAATCTATTGTAGATGTTACTATAGAAATCTACCCGTGGACGCCAAGTCGACAGGTCTCCAGTTATGTCCAAATCCCTTGGAGGCCCTTGCAGAAATCATTAGTGTATATTCTGTCTTACACATCAGGTACGAATTAGATTACATTCCCTCCGTACGTCTTGGAAAATTTCTATAAACAACTCAAATTTCATTGTGAGATCCAATCGCCGGCCACGCCCTACAAGATCCAATCGTTTCTCACTTTTAACCGAGTATTCCTCCGATGCTAGTCATACCTACCCCTGTATATTCGGATTTATAGGCTGGGAGATCCGAAGTACGAAGGGCGTGATAACCTCAGCTCGGGGACCCAACCCAACAATCAGCGCTTGGTGTCTTTTTTGCTTGACTCCTGAACGTCCCCCAAACTTCACCAAGACATCCAAGACACGATCATGTCAGATCCTAGCAAATTAACTTTCGCATCTCGATGACCGGATAGGGTCGGCACCTCCGCTACATCCTCGCTGCGGTAGTGCCTGACCTGCGCGGTAAATCCTCGTTCGCCCCGTCCTAGCTCGCCACACCCTACTGATGCAGACCCTAGTTCTGGGATTGCCATGCGCTCCCATCAACAGAGTTTCCGGAGGAGAGGTGAGCGCGGAGCAACTAATCCGGGGTCAGTGCCATGTGCGCATCAGGCGGTGTACATCGTAACCTATAACTGCCTCACGAGGCTCGTATATCATCTGTGGCGATGCCAATACATCGGAAGCAAAAGCCTATATCCGCAGTATGAGGTGAGGTAAGGCTGTATCCTATTTGGGCATATGTACCTGTTCGCCAGCTTGCCCAGCTTGCCCTAAGCGGGCTTGAGATGGGACAATGGAGCCAGCACTGTCAGCATTGCAACCTTGTAAGCTTAAGGGGAATAATGAAACTGTAGATGATAACGCCATCCAATTTGGACATGATCCAGGCTAAACGGCCTCACGCCCCTGATGGCTTGTGCGCTGAACTGCTACGCCCACGTTCCAGACCGCAAGGGTTCGTGACCGGGGGAATTACAGGCTCTCGCTTGGAAGAACAGTACTCCGGAGTACTCCGTACAGTATACAGCCAGACCTTTCCCCTGCATGATGACCTGTTGGTATTAGTTCGAGTGAGGTGCTTTTCCAAGGGTTACCTTGGCAGTTCAAAATAGAAAATACGACACTCGACGTAGCAATTCTCCCGGGAAAAAAAAGAAAAAAAAAGCGGACCAGAAAAGTGTCTGACTTGGTTCCACAGGGGGGCCAAATACACACCTGATCCACGTATTGTCTCTCTCCCTCCCTCCCTTCCATCTAGATCCCATGCAAGGAATGTGGCGCCTATTACTGGGGGAGAGTGTGGCCCATGCGGTCTTCGGAGGCTATTTTCGATTGTACTAAGGAAATAATACTGTTTCTTTAGGGGAAAAATACCTGTACTTCTTTAAAATAAGACGAGACCGTCCGAGATCGCGGGCGCACTTGAACCACTGTCGAATTAATACTGTCGTTCATCCTTCGTACCTTAGGCCCACATATACACACTCTCTCCATCAACCGGACACGAAACGAAACATAGAAGACGGCTTGGTACTATCCAGCCATTAGACGTCATGGCTCAATCCACCAAGTGCTATCTTCCTCGGTTCACTTCGACGGTTGACGGGCCTAAACGCCCAGTCTCGATGAAGACGAGACCCACGGCTGCTCAGCATGCGCAGTTATTAACCGCATGGAACGAAGGCCGTCTGGACCCAATCCTACGAGCCACCTGGGCTCTCTTGTTGCATTACTATATCCGCTCCGAGGATATATGTTTTGGTTACCAACATCTGGAGGGCGACTCGCGTTCTCCCAAATCATCTGTACAGCGTTCTACCGGCGTCAACATTTCGACGATCCGCATATCCATCAACGACAACGACTCTCTCAAAGAAATTGTAGATAAGGTGAGGGCAAACAGTGCGATTCGCCAGATCAATGGAACGTCGGAGGCCGCTTCCGAGGCATATCTTCCTTTCAACACCATCTTCATGCTGCGCACATACGACCCGCCTGCTTCTCCTTCAAAACCTATTCTGGCGACAGCTCTTCCGGACGAGGTTAGTTTACTCCACGGATGGCGACGGGATTTTCCCTCGGAGACTGGAGTTGGGCTAACAACGCGCAGTGTCAAGTTCGTCTGCATGTCAAGGTGCTGCGTGGAGACATCAGCATCTTCCTTGAATGGCGCAAGGGTGACATGTCTGGGGAACAGATGAAGAGTATCGCAAACATTTTTGAGCAGTTGCTTGCCAAAGTCCTTTCTGTTGAGAACACCGCTATTAGCCAGCTTAATTTGTTCTCGGAGAACGACTGGCAACGCATCCGCAAGTGGAACTCCACTACTCCACAGCTTCATGATCGCTGCATTCACGACGCCATCCACGATCAAATGTTGAGGGGGCCTGATCGTGAGGCTGTCTGTGCGTGGGATGGGAGTCTGACATACGCCGAGTTGGATCACCAAGGGTCGAAGCTTGCATGCTATCTTCGCATGCAGGGAGTTGGGCCGGAAATCCGCGTGGCTTTATGTTTCAATAAATCGGTAAGTTGCATGTTTCATGGATTCTGCAGAATTTGGTGCGTATACTGACTCCACAGAAATGGAACATTGTTGCAATGCTTGGCGTGATGAAAGCCGGGGGAGCTTTCGTCCCGTTGGACCCGACTCACCCAACTTCCCGACTGCAAGCTCTCATCCAATCGGTTCAGGCACCGGTTGTGCTGTGCTCTGAGCATCTTGCCGATAAACTTCGTCCGATCGTGAAGACTTTAATACCCCTCTGTGCTGATACTCTAGAACCTCTGTCAGACCCCAACAGTGTCAATCTTGCATCTGGTGTCACAAGTCAAAATGCGGCTTATGTTCTGTTTACCTCTGGATCAACAGGAGAACCCAAGGTTAGACTTTTGTTAAAATATAATTTGATGCAGGAATAGCTGACTCATGTTTTGCAGGGAACATTGTTGGAGCACCGCGCGTTCCTCTCCGGGGCAATGGCGCATGGTCCCGGTCTGCGCATTTATCGCAACTCGCGATGCCTTCAATTCGCGGCTCACACATTCGATGCCAGTTTAGCCGAGACGTTGACGCCGCTCATTCATGGTGCATGCGTGTGCATTCCGAGCGAGGAAGCTCGGCTCAACGATATTGTGAGCGCCATTAACGACATGCGAGTCACCCAGGCTTGCTTCACGCCATCATTCATCGGCTTCATTGAAATCGAGAGCGTTCCAGGACTGGAGAGTTTGGTCCTGGCCGGGGAGGCAATGTCGCAATCACAGCTGACTACCTGGTCCAAAATCAAACTGGTCAATGGTTATGGACCTACCGAGGCCAGCGTGGCATCCGTACTCAATTCCAATGTTACACCTGACACCGATTGTAAAGATATCGGCCTTCCTATTGGTGTCAGAACTTGGCTTGTGAACCCTGATAACCACGATGAACTGGTCCCCGTGGGCTGCCCTGGAGAACTACTTTTGGAAGGCCCACCCCTGGCCCGGTGCTACGTGAATAACCCACAAAAGACAAACGAATCGTTCATCTACGACCCTGCTTGGACTACATTGGACCCTGAAAGTGGCTCTAACCGTAGATTCTACAAGACAGGTGACCTCGTCAGGTACAACTCCGACACCGGTGCCCTAAATTACGTCGGTCGCAAGGACACGCAGGTCAAGGTTCACGGACAACGAATCGAGCTCGGCGAAATTGAGAATCAGCTCAGCAAAGACTCGAACGTCACTCATTGCTCTGTCTTCTTCCCCAAGACTGGTTTCTCCAAGGGACGCCTGGCGGCAGTTGTGTCGTCCATCGGCTTGCTTGCGGAACAGTCTGATTCGGACTTGGAACCTCTACGACTCGTCTCTGCCTCGAAAAAGGCCGAGCTTGTTCCAGGCATCCGAGAACGACTATCAGCTCGCCTCCCCACTTATATGGTCCCTGCGGTTTGGTTGTGTGTTGAAGCTCTGCCACTTCTGCCATCAGGGAAACTAGACCGCAAGGGCATTTCCACTTGGGTCGCCGGTATGGAGAATGACCCAGATCTTCACAACAATGCCTCTGTTGCATTCGCCGATACAGAGGCCTCGCAGCCCGCCAACAACAGAGAGGAAGCTTTAGCTGCTGTATATAGCCGTGTCCTCAACATTCCTCAGAACCAGCTCAATTTGAATGAGAGCTTCCTCGCCCTCGGTGGTGATTCGATCGCAGCTATGACATGTATCGGTCTCTGTAAGAAGCGAGGGTTTGCCCTCTCTGTACAGGAGCTCCTTCGCAGCAAATCAATCCGCGACCTCGCAACTCGCGCAAAGACAATCGACCACCTTACGACTTACGAAGAAGCCGTTGATGAACCATTTAGCCTGTCGCCCATCCAGACCCTTCACTTCGGTGTACGCAAGGAGGGTCAAGGCCACTTCAATCAAGGAATTCTCACTCGGTTGAACAAACCCGTGGAAGAACGAACCCTCCGCAAGGCTGTCGAAACCCTGGTATCTCGGCACTCCATGCTCCGTGCACGATTCACTGACACAGGATTCGCGACGGCATCAAACCAACATATTACTCGCGATATCAAGGGGTCTTACAGATGGCGCATGCACACTCTTGGCGACATGGACGAGGTCAAGACTCATGTCGCGCACAGCCAATCCTCTATCAACTGCTTTTCTGGTCCGCTGCTGGCAGTGGATTATTTCTCGGTGAAGGGCCAGCCTAATGTCCTGTCAATGACAGCTCACCACTTGGTCGTCGACATTGTCTCGTGGAGGATTATCCTGGAAGATTTGGAAGACATCATTCTAAACCCCGAGACGACAGGAACCAGTGATGGCTCCTTGCCTTTCCAGACCTGGTGCCGCCTGCAGAATGAGCACTGCAACACCCTCCGTGCGGAGCGCAAAGTTGCAACGGATGCTCTCACTGCACCCGATTTTGGTTACTGGGGCCTCAACGACACTCAAACCACATATGGTGATGTGGATTGTGCCTCGTTTGAGATCGACCCAGCCCACACCAATGCCATTCTTCTCGAATGTCACAAAGCTCTGGGCACTGAGCCAATTGACCTCTTCCTGGCAGCAATGCTCCACTCATTTGGCCGCACTTTCCCTGATCGTTCTCTTCCAACGATCTACAATGAAGGCCACGGACGAGAAGTCTGGGACCCGTCCATTGATATCTCGCATACTGTGGGCTGGTTTACCATTTTGCACCCAATCTTCGTGTCTGCATACGACTCAGACAACCCTATTGATACCCTCATCCAGGTGAAAGATCTTCGTCGTCGCGTCTCGGATAATGGTCGCGCAGAGTTCACCTGCCGAGTTCTGCCAGTCCAGGGCAATCAAGAGTCCAAGCACCCTCACCCCTTTGAGATGTCATTCAACTACGTCGGACAACATCGAGATCTACAGAGGAAGGATGGTCTCTTCCAGCTTGTTGATCAGATGGCCGGAGAAGCTGGTCAAGGAGGCGGCGCCGCTGACTTTGGAACGGATACTCCCCGCTTTGGTCTGTTCGAGATCTCTGCGATGGTCGTGGCTGGAAAGGTTCGATTCAACTTCTCCTTTAACAAGTTCATGCAGCACCAGAATCGTATTTACCGATGGGTTTCCCAATGCCAGGAGCTGCTTGTAACTCTATCGGAACAGCTTCCTACCCTCGAGCCGCGTTTGACTCTCAGTTCATTCCCCATGTTATCGTTGACCTACCCTACCTTGGACAAGTTGCTCAATGAGAAGTTGCCCGCTCTGGGTATCGAGTCTCCAGACTTTGTTGAGGATATCTACCCTTGTTCTCGCATGCAGCAGGGTATCCTCCTCGGTCGCAAGCGCGATAGCTCCTACTATGCTGTCCACGACACGTTCGAAATCCGGGCCACTGGATCTAGCAAGCCAAACCTGGATCTCCTGGTCAACGCATGGCAGAAAGTCGTTTCTCATCATGCTATGTTCCGCACCATCTTCGTTGAGAACCTCACGCCTCGGGACCCGTTCTGCCAGGTCGCACTGAAAAGTTATCATGCTACTCCTGTCTTCTTGCAGTCTTCAGGAGACAATGATGTGCTTGCGACTTTTGACAAGGAAGACCCCAAGGATTACAGCGAGCCTGAACCAGCGTATCGTTTCACTATTTGCCAGACACCCACTGGGAGACTGTTTGCCCGCATTGAGATCAGTCATGCTGCGATGGATGGTAACTCGATCTCAATCATCCTCCGTGACTTGCAGCTCGCATACGCTGGCAGACTCGAGGAAAGCCCTCAGCCTTTGTTCAAGAATTACATACAGTACCTCCAGGATGCGCCAAAGGAAGCCAGTATCCACTACTGGCGCTCGTACTTGGATCAGGCTAAGCCGTGCCACTTCCCCGCCCTCACTGACGGCCAACAATCAGCGAAGGCCCTTCGGTCTATCCCTGTCAACTTCGGAGCCCTCAAGGAACTCCAAACTGTCTGCGAGAAGCGCGGGATTACCCTGGCGAATGTCTTCAATGCTGCGTGGGGCCTCACTCTCCGCGCCTTCTGTGGATCCGACGATGTCTCCTTTAGTTATATGGCATCCCTGCGTGATGTGTCTGCTGAGGGCGTCCAGTGGGTTATTGGACCAGTCATCAACCTTCTAGTCTGCCGCATGAAGGTTCCTGATGATGCGAAGCTCAGTGACGTGTTGCATCAAATCCAGAACAACTACATGGAAAGCCTTCCTTACCGTCACACTTCGCTCATTGACATTCAGCATGCTTTGAAGCTGTCCGACACGAACTTGTTCAATTCCGGTGTCTCCTACCGCCGGCTTCCCAGTTCCAAAGATGCCGTTAGCAGCGACATCGAGTGTGTTGAGGTTGGCTCAATCCACGATCCCGCCGAGTTCCCGGTTTTCATCAACATCGAGGCCATGGATACTACGGCTCGCATTGACCTCAACTACTGGACTACCAACCTCTCTGATTCACAGGCTGTCAATGTGGCCAATACCTACCTTCGCTGTCTTGAGAACGTGGTGTCGAACATTGACGGTGAAATCCGCCAGTTAGACAGCTTGAGCGAGGACAACCGAGCGCAGATCATGGCGTGGAACAGCAAGACTCCTAAGCCCTTTGAAAAATGCGCTCACCACGTTGTCCAAGAGACGGCCAAGAAGCGCTCTGATGCGTTGGCTGTCAGTGCTTGGGATGGAAACTTGACTTACTCCAAGTTGGATCAATTCTCCTCTCGATTGGCAAGCTACCTAGTCACCTTCGGCGTCGGCCCCGGCACACTGATCCCCATCTGCTTCGAAAAGTCCGTGTGGAACATAGTCTCCACGTTGGCAATTATGAAAGCCGGTGGTGGCTGTATTCCCGTTGACACACCTCAGAGTCTGGCTCTTGTTGAGAAGTGGATTGTCGACAACGCCGTACAAGTCGCTCTGGCTTCTCCAGAGAAGGCTCAAGTCCTCGAGGATGCTGTGCCGTACGTCATCCCTGTAAGCGAGTCTCTTCTTGAGTACCTCGCGGACGAGGTTATCAACCCAGTGGCGCAATCATCCGACCTCGCATACGTCGCTATGACTGCCGGCACCTCTGGCCCCGCGAAGAGCGTCGTCCTTGACCATTCAACCGTCATGACCAGAGCCGTAGCATTCGCTACCACCATGGCAATTGCCGATGTCTCCAGGACTCTGCAATTCGCACCCCATACATCCGATGCATTTATTGTTGAGGTGTTCGGGACTTTCATGTGGGGTGGTTGCGTTTGCATCCCGGCTGATATTGACCCCCTCAACTTGGCCGCGTCTATCAATGCACTCCATGTTAACGTTGCTAGCATCACCCCGACAGCCGCAAGCTTCTTCTCCCCCAAGGATGTTCCGGGACTGCGATCGATTGCCCTGGGCGGCGAAGTTGTGCCCCAGAGCGTGCTGGACAGCTGGAAGACCGACGACCTCCAATTGCAGGTTTTGTATGGAACATGTGAGAGCTCGGCTGCCTCCTTCCACGTTTTCTGTTCCCAGGAAGACAATGAGGCTGCACTCATTGGCAAGAGCACCTCCTGTGTTCCATGGGTTGTTGACCCCTCCAACCACGATCGTCTTGTCCCGATCGGTAGTGTTGGAGAATTGGTGCTCGAAGGGCCTGTTCTTGCCCTGGGTTACCTCGACAACCAGTCTGTAGAGACCAAGGACTTCTTCGACAACGCTTCTTGGCTTTCTGGACACCGAGAAGGGGACGGACACTCCCTGTTCAAGACTGGAGATCTTGTTCGGTACAAACCCGATGGCTCCCTCGTTTTCGTCGGCCGAAAAGACGATAAGAATCAATCCGCGCTGGCTAGCGAGCTTATTCAGACTCAGGCGCGCATCGATTCATTCCTGCACACCAAGAAGAAGTGCGTTCTGGAAAGTATCCAGCTGCAAACTGATAATGTAACGACCAATGCTCTTGTTGCTTTCGTGGTATCTTCGGACACCACTCTGCCCACCTTTGGGGATACTGTTGTCCTGCAGTCTGCGGCACCTGGGCAGAAAGACGTCATCTCTAGCCTGCACGCCAATCTGAGTACCAGTCTTCCTGGTAGCAAGGTTCCGAGTTTATACATCCCCATTTCCTCCCTCCCATTGACTTTCTCTGGAAAGCTAAACCGCCAGGCCCTCAAAACCGAAACACAAGCGCTTTCGAGAAGTGCTCTCGAAGCTTTCGATATTAAGCATTGGAGCGGGTCCAAGACTGGTAACCGGCTTTCACGCAATGCCAGTCTCTCCGGGGCCAGCATCGCTTTTTGGAAGGAGTATCTGGCCGATGTTGAGCCCTGCGTTTTCCCGGCGCTCTCCCATGAGGGAAACGACATTGGCCGCTCCATACGCACACTTAACAAGCAATCAGCCAACATCCATGCCTTCAGCAGACTCTCTGGTCTCCCCGTGGAAACTCTCTTTCAGTTTGCCTGGGCCGTTGTCCTCCGGTGGTACACAGGCTCGGAAGATGTTTGCTTTGGCTATTCCGCCCCAGCCTCGGAGACGAAATTGGGCGCTGATGGAGTTGCCACCTGCCGCTTCCTCGTGCAGAACGAGCAAAAGCTGCAAGAGACTCTCCAAAAAGCAAAGAAGGATTGTGAGAACAGCGCATTAAATGTCGCTCCCTTAGACGCCGTCAAGCACCAGCTTGGACTAGATGATACAACGCTCTTCAACACCTCCCTGATTTATCGCACGGCTTCCAATCTCCCCAAGGGAAGTACCCGTGAGCCAAGGACCTTCAGTGCTTACAAGATCTTGGTTGAAGCTGAAGTTTCGCATTCCTACGCCGAGATCCACTTCACCTACTCCTCAGAGACCCTTTCCTCCTTCCAGGTCAGCCATGTCATGGACATGTTTGAGGAAGTCTTGGACGATCTGATAGCCCAAAACCTCCGTGACCGCACAGTCGGAGACATCAATGTACTACCTGAACGCTCAGTTCGCCGAATCCGCGATTGGAATGCCGCATCCCCTCCTAGAGTGGAGAAGTGCGTCGATGAGCTCATCCAGCAGCAGGCGGTCCTTCACCCTCGTGCCGAAGCCATCTGCTCTTGGGACAAGAATTTCACTTATGGGCAGCTTGAGATTGTGTCCAGTCGATTGGCTCGCCATCTCTCCAGTCTTGGAGTCAAGCCTGAAGCCTTCGTGGTGTTGTGCTTTGAGAAGTCAGCTTGGGCTGTAGTTGCCCAGTTGGGTGTTCTCAAGGCGGGTGGGGCTTTCGTCTCGATTGACCCATCCCACCCCGATTCTCGACTGAGGATGCTCATCGATGAAATTGGCAGTAACCTTGTCTTGTGCTCATCTTCAGTCCATACCAAAGTTTCGAAGCTCTGCGCGAAATCGTTCGCCGTCTGTCAGACTTCAATCTCCCAACTTCCTGACTCGCCTTTGGCTTTGCCTGGCGCTCGTCCTACCCCGAACAATGCTGCATATGCTATCTTTACCTCTGGTACTACTGGAAAGCCGAAGGCGACTGTTGTCGAGCATACTGCTCTCAGCACCACTGCGATCGCCATGATCGATGGCCTACACATGAACTCCACAACCCGTGCTTTGCAGTTCTCTAACTACACTTTTGACGTCAGCGTTCTCGAGATCATGATGGTTCTCATGACTGGCGGTTGTGTGTGTGTCCCCAGCGAGGAGGAACGTATGAACAACTTGGGTGGTGCCATCCGCCGAATGGAAGCTACCCGCATCTCGGCACCTCCTGCCATCGTCAATACCCTAGAGCCGAAGAACGTTCCCACCCTCGAGGTCATCATCACAGGCGGCGAGAAGATGCCGGCTAACCATATTGACCGCTGGGCAGACCGGTGCGTCATCAATGCCTATGGTCCCTCCGAGGCCACTGTCCTTGCTACGGCCGGTATCAAGGTCGATTGGGATGGAAACCGTGTCAACGATGATCCTACATCCATTGGAGCAGCTTTGAATTGTAGAGTCTGGATTGTGGATCCCAAAAACTCCAACCGTCTGCTGCCCGTTGGCGCTGTCGGCGAATTGATCCTTGAAGGAAGCAACATTGCCCGTGGATACCTTGCCAACGAGGAAAAGACGAAGGCCTCTTTCTTCGAGAATCCTGTCTGGAACCGTCACGCTGGCTTACAGGGCGTGTTCAAGCGAAGTGAGCGCATGTATCGCACTGGTGATCTTGTTCGCTACAACAGCGATGGCACTCTGGCTTTCATCTCCCGCAAAGACACTCAGATCAAGTTCAATGGCCAGCGAATTGAACTCGAGGAGATCGAACAACAATGTATCCGCTGCCTACCTGAGGACTCTCAGGTCGCTGTTGATGTCGTTGTTCCCGAGGAACGGACCATCGCCAAGGGCCTCGCCGCATTCTTCACGATTCATGACCCAGATTCCAACGGGGGCAGCAGCGATCAATTCGCCCCCACGGTTCCTGGAGCCGACCCACTGCTCCTGCCCATTTCCATGTCCAACATGGATGCCATTCAGAAGTTGAAGGGCTCTCTGCCCGAGCTTCTGCCTCAGAGCATGACGCCCCGGCTCTTCTTCCCCATCCGCAACTTGCCCTTCACTTCCTCGGGGAAGATTGACCGCCGGAGACTGCGGGCAATGGTGCAGACCTTGTCCAAGGATACTCTCAAGTCTTACATTACCCTCAGCACCTCCGATAGAAGGGAGACTTCGTCTGCTACTGGCCTCGAGATCAAGCTTGTGGCCCTTGTGGAAAAGACCCTCGAGCTTGAAGCTGGCTCTGTGACCGCCGATGACAGCTTCTTCGGTCTGGGTGGGGATTCCTTGTCCGCTATGAACCTCGTCGGCGCTGCCCAAGCAGAAGGTATTGCGCTTACCGTCTCGAGCATCTTCAATTGCCCAATCTTGGTCGACATGGCCAAGAGCTGCGTCGTGTCTGACGGACCTGCCGAAATTAAGAAAGAAAACGTCAAGGCGTTCTCCTTGCTACCTTCTGGAGTCTACCTTGAAAGCCTGATGGATGAAGTCACCGATAGCTGCGAAGTGTCCAAGGACCTCATCAGCGATGTATACCCATGCAGCGCTGTCCAGGAGGGTCTTCTGACACTCTCTATCAAACACCATGGCGCTTATGTTGCCCAGCCCTCATTCCGCCTTGCTGCTGGTATTGATGTCAGCAAATTCAAACAGGCCTGGCAAGAAACCGTGGCAGACTTGGAAATTCTTCGCACTCGTATTGTCCACACCGAAGCTATGAACTTTGCTCAAGTTGTCCTCAACGATGGCCCTATCTCCTGGGTGGAAGCAGAGTCGTTTGACGACCTGCCCAACGACTTCCTTCACCTACCCAAGCAAAATGGAGCACCTCTTACTGGTTACGCCCTGGTGCAACCCCGTGGCTCCTCTGATAGTTACTTTGTGTGGTCTGTTCACCACGCCCTCTATGACGGCTGGAGTATTCCTTTGGTATTCCGCAAGGTTGAAGAGAACTACTTTGCCTCACGGCCCAAGCGCGCTGGCACTCCCTACAGTCTCTTCATTGAATACCTTGTGAAGAAGGATATGGAAGAGTCTGATGCTTTCTGGAAGTCTTATCTGACTGATCTGTCGAGCACTCCTTTCCCTCACAACAAGAGCGCGGTTCCTGATGCCATGCGTGCTGGCAACACGCAATACCACAGCATGGAACTTTCCCGCACGCGTAGCAGCATCGACTTTACGATCCCGGTCCTCATGCGCGCTGCATGGGCAATCGTCATTGCGACCCATACTGCGTCTGGTGATGTCTGCTTCGGCGAGACTTTGTCGGGAAGAAATATCGATCTTCCTGGTGTTGCAGATATTGCTGGTCCAGTTCTGACCACTGTCCCCACCCGAATCCAGGTTGACAGTGCCATGTCGACTTTGCAGTACTTGCAGAAGATCCACCAGTCGACCACCGAGATGATCCCACACCTGCACTCTGGTCTTCAACGTATCCGGCAGCTGAACAAAGATACCTCCGCGGGCTGTGATTTCCAAAACTTGCTTGTGATCCAACCAGGCGACGGCGGCGAGCTTGACAACAAGATATGGATTGACGAGAAACATGAAACAAGCGAAGACTTCTTCACTCACCCCCTTGTTCTGGAATGTGGGGTCACCAAGACGAGCATCTCATTCACGGTTCACCACGATGAGCTTGTCATCAGCGGATGGCACACCAAACGAATCACGGAACAATTTGCCCATGTTTTGCAGCAATTGATTGCCTTGCCCAAGAACAGCACGAGCAAGCTCGGAGATTTGGAGGTCATCAGCCCCGAAGACAAGGCTGAAATTGGTACATGGAATGAACGCACCCCCCTCACAGTGGAACGGACCGTCCAAGATTTCATTCGCGAGAAGTCCGAAGAGACTCCGAATGCCCAGGCTGTTTGTGCTTGGGATGGCGACATCACCTACAGAGAATTCTGGAACCTGGCATCCGGCTTCGCCAACTACCTAGTCTCTCGAGGCGTTGGCCCAGAAGTATTTGTTCCAGTCTGCCTGGACAAGTCAGCTTGGGCAATGGTCACCCTCATCAGTATTCTCATCGCTGGTGGTGGGTATGTGCCCTTGGATCCCTCCCACCCTACCTCGCGACATGAAGAGATTCTTGCCGACGTCGGAGCAAACATGATACTATGCACCCCGAACTATACAAATCGCTACAGCCGAGTTGTGAAGAACGTTATACCCATCAGCAAGGAGACCATCAAGGCATATGGCGCCCTCAAGTCATCTGCCCGTCGCCGGACTGAAGTCAAACCCTCCAATATGGCTTACGCTCTGTTCACCTCTGGAAGCACTGGTCGGGCAAAGGGGATTATTGTCGAGCACCGCAACGTGGTCAGCAGTATCATGGCATTCGCGCCGTGGGTACGCATGGATGAGACCTCAAGAGTATTCCAATTTGCCTCCCTCACTTTCGATGCTGCTGTTATGGAGACTCTTGCAATCCTCATGCTGGGAGGTACCATCTGTGTGCCCAGCGAAGAAGACCGTCTCAACGATGTCGCGGGCGCAATTCGTCGACTCAATGTCACTTGGACTTTCCTCACCCCTTCGATCGCAAGCATTATTGAGCCATCTTCGGTGCCTTCCCTCAAGCACCTCGTTTGTGGCGGTGAGAAGATGTCTAACGAAGTCATCACCAAGTGGGCCAATTCTGTTCACCTCATGAACGGGTACGGGCCGACCGAGACGTGTGTCTTTGCTGTGGTCGATAACGCAGTGGCCACCAACCGTGATCCCGGGCGTATCGGTTACGGTATTCCCAGCACTCTCACCTGGATTGTTGACCCCGACAACCATGATCGGCTGACTCCCCTGGGTGCAGTCGGTGAACTTGCACTTGAAGGCGCTCCGTTGGCTAGAGAGTACCTCAAAAACCCCGAGAAAAACGCAGAAGCATTTACCTCGGACCCTGCCTGGATCAAGGACTTCACGCCCGCGGTCCCGGGTCCTCGCCGAATCTACAAAACTGGCGATCTTTGCTACTACAACCCTGATGGCTCTATTCAGTACATCAGCCGGAAGGATCACCAGGTCAAGTTGCATGGCCAGCGGATGGAGCTTGGTGAGATTGAGCATCGCCTTTCTGAGGATGTTCTTACCCGACACGCTGTCGTTGTTCTCCCCAAGAACGGCCCGCTTAAGCAGCGCCTGGTCACTGTGATGTCTTTGAACAGTATAGCAGCCGACACCAAGCTCATTTCTGACAAGCCTTGTGAGCTTGTTGATGAGGATGATCTTGAGCGCCATGCTTACAACGAGCTGGTCGAAGTCCAGAACAATCTTGAGAACCAGCTGCCCATTTACATGGTCCCGCAGACTTGGGCTCTCATCAAGAAGCTTCCCATGCTGGTTTCTGGAAAGCTCGACCGGAAAAAGATTGCCGCTTGGGTTGAGCATATTGATGATGCGTCCTACGAGCGTATCATGGCCGATTACGATCGCATCAAGCGTGGAAAGACCCAAGAGAAGCCGCAAGAAACGGAAGAGAAGAATGGACCGCTCAGCATCATCCGCGAAATCTTTGCACAGGTGTTGAATATCTCCTTACAGAAGGTCAACGTCGACCGCTCCTTTGTCAGCTTGGGTAAGTATCCCATCATTTCGAAATAGTGAACATGCTAACCGTTTCTCACAGGCGGCGACAGCATCACTGGAATGGCTGTCATTTCTCGCGCTCGCAAGCAGGGACTTGTTCTGACACTACACAATATTCTGCAGAGCAGGTCCCTAAAGGAACTTGCTGAAACCGCCAGTTCCAAGGCACCTGTTCCACAGCGCGAGGAGAGGTCCGGTCAAGGCTTCGCGCTTTCTCCTGTTCAAAGGCTCTACTTCCACAGCTCGGACTCTTTCAAGGGCGCCGCTCGCTTCAACCAGAGCATTACTGTTCGCATCGCTCGCCGTTGTGAGGGTGAGGTTCTCAAGCGCGCTCTCAAGGCTGTTATTAGCCAGCATTCCATGTTCCGCGCACGTTTTAGCACGTCTAGTGACGGAACCTGGCAACAGAAAACTGCAGCGGTAAGTTCCCTAAAATCCCCCATCTAACATTTTCTAATTCAACTTCCCAGGAGGTCGATGAATCCTTCCGATTCCGCGTTCACTCTGTCGGCGATACCCGGGCGATGGTTCCGAAAGTCGCTGAGAGTCAAACTTGCCTGGATCCTCTCAATGGACCTATTCTGGCAGCTGATTTGTTCAACCTTCGCGCCGGTGGTCAGGTCTTATTCCTCGTCGCTCACCATCTCTGCATTGACATGGTATCATGGCGCATTGTGCTCCAGGACCTCGAAGAGCTCGTTGTCTCTGGGTCTCTTTCACTCGAAAAGGCATTGTCCTTCCAAAGCTGGTGTGCCATGCAGACAGAGAGAGCCAATACGCACGATGCGACTATTTCTCTACCTTTTACTCCCGAGAAGCCGAACTTGCTTTACTGGGGCATGCAAGGTTCACCCAATGTTTATGGAGATGTCAAGATGGAATCCTTCATGTTGAGCGAGGATACTACCAAATTTATTCTGGACGGCTGTCACAGTGTCTTCCGGACCGACACTGTCGACATCTTGCTGTCTGCCATCATTCATTCCTTTGGTCGCACCTTCACCGATCGTAAGGTGCCAACTATTTACAACGAAGGACATGGCAGAGAACCCTGGGAAGCCGACATTGACCTTTCGAGAACAGTCGGCTGGTTTACCACGATGGCCCCTTTGCTAGTAGATTCGGAAGCTCGTAAGTTTACCATACCTCATCTTGCCGACAGACAGCTGACACGGGAAGGTGCCCTCAACGACATTATCAAGCGTGTCAAGGATACCAGGCGCAAAATTGCAGACAATGGACGTCCGTACTTCGCCAAAAGCCTGCTTCAAGAGCAGGGCGCCGATTTCCCTGTCCCGTTGGAAATCCTGTTCAACTACCTGGGTAAAATGCAGCAACTTGAGCGAGCTGACTCGCTGTTCCATCACCATGGTAGCGTTTTTGACAGCTCGGACTTTGCTGTCGCAGGTGACATGGGCCCCCAGACTGCTCGTTTTGCGCTCTTCGAAGTATCTGCCATCGTCATCAAAGAACGCCTCAATGTTGCCTTCACCTACAACCATAAAATGCAGCATCAGGGCTCTATTCGCCGCTGGATTCTCCAGTGCAAGCAGACCCTCGATAAGGATATCCTCACACTGAAAACGGCTACTCCAGAGCCCACCCTCAGCGACTACCCCCTCCTCCCAATCAACTATCACGGCCTCCAGATGCTCACCGCCACCACCTTCCGCAAGGCCGGCATTCGGAACAAGGATGACATCGAGGACATATATCCCTGTTCTCCCATGCAGGAGGGCCTCTTGCTCAGCCAGCTCCGCGATCCCAATGCGTACATGTTCCATACTGTGTTTGAGATCAAGGATGGAAAATCTGGCAAGGTCGACGCTGAGGGAGTTGCTCGTGCTTGGCAAGTTCTCGTCGACCGTCATCCTGTGCTGCGAACTATTTTCGTCGACAGCAACTACACTGGTGGGTCCTTCGATCAACTGGTGCTCAAGAACCTTTCCGACAATATCCTACGCGTGCAATGTCACGACTCACAGGTCGAGGAGAAGTTGGCTGCTATCTCTCTCCGTGACAGGAACGCGATGCGCCAATCGAAGCTTGCTCACCAACTCACTGTCTGCAAAACAGACAGCGGACGTGTGATCCTCAAGCTGGAGATGAACCATGCCATTATCGATGGTGGCTCGGTGGATGTACTACTCCGTGACCTGGCTCTGGCCTACGAGCGAAAGATTGCTGAGGGTTCGGGACCTCGCTTCAGCGACTATATCAAGTTTATCAGAACCCAAAGCCACAGTGAGGCTCTCAGTCACTGGAAGCAATACCTCGGTGGAGTTCGCCCATGTCACCTGGCTCCATCGTCTGCGTTCGAAGCCAAGAGGGAACTGAAGGGTGTCATGATGAACTTCCAGCGCTTCCCTGAGCTGCTTAAGTTCTGCGAGCGAAACTCTGTGACGCTCGCCAACTTGACTTTGTCCGCTTGGGCCATCGTCCTACGACAGTTCACAGGCTCCGATGATATTTGTTTCGGATATCTCTCTGCCGGTCGTGATGCCCCTGTCAATGGCATTCAGGACATGGTTGGAATCTTTATTAACATGCTTTGCTGCCGAGTTCAGTTCTCCCACCAGCAGACCCTGGCGGATGTGTCCAAGAATGTTCAAGATGATTATGTTCGATGCATTCCCCACCAGAGCTGCTCTTTGGCGAGCATTCAGCATGAGCTTGGCTGGCAGGGGCAGTCCCTTTTCAATACTACCTTGTCGATCCAAAACCACTCCGTTGCGGGTGGTCCCAAGGACAAGGGATTGTCTTTCGATCTTCAGCACGCACATGATCCAAGCGAGGTGAGTACCAGTCCTATCAATAATTGCCTTCAACTACTAACTAAATCCAGTACGCGGTCACTGTGAACGTTGAGATTGCCCGAGGCCAGGAGGGTATTCTTTTGAGATACTGGAACGATATCGTGTCTGACGAGAAGGCACAGGCTCTGGCTGACACCGTCGCGAAGGTGTTCACAGGATTCATTGAATCCCCGGCTGCGACGCTGTCGCAGTCCACATTCACTTCGGAGGCTGAACCCCAGTCAGTGGATTGGGATCGCTCCCAATCCACACTGGCTGACAAGGCGAAGTCAACCGGAGAGGCGATTGACAGCAGTGCTATGCAGAAAATTATTGATGATCGTGTTCATGAGATTATTGGTCAGATGTTGAGAGAAGGAAAACTAACGGTGCCTCCCATTCGTACGGAAGGGTTGTCAAGCTATGGCGGTCACACTGATGCTATAGCCGACTCACCGTACCAGTTAGGTATACAAGGAGCAGATGATTCGGGTGTTTGTTCGGCGACTTCCCGTTCCAGCGAGGATGGGATGTCGGTGGATGTGGAAAGGAAATTGTGGAATCTTTGGAGCACAGCTCTTGGCCTCTCACCTAACGTGGTGAGACACCAGGACAGCTTCTTCAAGTTGGGCGGCGATAGTATCACCGCGATGAAGATGGTCAGCGCCGCTCGCGAAGAGGGCCTGGTCCTTACAGTTGCCGATGTCTTCAACAATCCTGTCTTCGAGGACATGCTGACAACAGTGCGAGCCGCGAATGTCACTCAGCAGATGCTGAATGTCGATCTAAAGTCTGGCGGCCACAGGGAGGTTGATAGTGATCTACTCAATATCACGCCAACAACACTGGGGCCCAGCCCCTCTACGGAGAGCCTCGAGGTTCTCAAGCCGTCGTGCGTCGACGATGCCGCGGTGCAGAGCGGTATCTGTCCTAAGGTTGGTGTCTTCAAGGGTGGCATCGCCGATGTTCTCCCTGTCACTGACTTCCAGGCGATGTCTCTGACGGCGACTCTCTTCAAGTCCCGATGGATGCTTAACTACTTCTATCTCGAAGGCAACGGCCCTCTGGACCTGAGACGCCTTCGCGAGAGTTGCTTGAAGGTTGTCGCTGCCTTTGATATTCTGCGCACAGTCTTTGTCTGCTTCCATGACCAGTTCTTCCAGGTCGTGCTACGCAAGATCCGTCCCAGCATCTTTGTTTATGAGACCGACCGTGCTCTTGATGAATTCACCACGACCCTTCAACAGAGAGATCGCGAATACGGACCGCGCGAAGGCGAGCAATACGTGCAGTTCTACGTTGTCAAGAAGAAGAACAGCGACCAGCACCGTATCATGATCCGCCTTTCTCACACTCAATACGATGGAGTGTGCTTGCCTAAGATCATGGCTGCCATTAAGCACGGGTATGAAGGCACCCCGCTGCCTCCGGTTACTCCCTTCGCTGGTTACTTGCGACAGCTGCCAGGAACAATCACCCCAGACCATTACCGTCACTGGACCGACCTTCTCAAGGGATCGCATATGACCCAAGTCGTTCGCAGGAACGGCACCAGCATGTTCCAGAACGTTGGAGCATTCACCGAGATCCACAGAAAGATTGAGATCTCCCCCACTGCCCTTGGAAATGTCACTATCGCAACAGTCATGCAGGCTGCCTGGGCCCTGGCCCTTGCAAAACTCTCTGCTCAATCCGATGTTGTCTTTGGTCTAACTATCAGCGGTCGCAATGCCACAGTGCCCGGTATTGAGAGCACTGTTGGCCCCTGTGTCAATGTCATCCCCGTACGCGTGAAGCTCGACGAGAAATGGACCGGTGTCGATCTATTCCGCTACCTCCAAGACCAGCAGGTCTCCAACATGCCTTTCGAGTCTCTGGGCTTCCGCGAGATCATCAAGCAATGTACCGACTGGCCTGACTGGACCTACTTTACCACCTCGGTCTTCCACCAGAACGTCGACTACGAAGGAAACATGGAGCTCGACAACAACAAGTACCGAATGGGTGGTGTCGGCGTCAATGACAACCTAGCGGATCTCACGATGGTGTCACGCCCGTCCGGCGAACGTGGCCTCGATGTCACCCTTGGCTACTCCGAAAAGGGACCTGTGATGCCATCATTCGCATCCAAGGTTCTCGACATGGCCTGCGAGATTGCGCAATCCCTTGTCGCCAACCCAACCGCTTCGCTACCCTCTGCCAGCATGCTACGCTCTCTGCCGCCCCAGGCAATCGACGATCTGCCTCGGCCATCAGATGAGCACTTCCTCAGCGCACACCTCAAGTCGCGCTCCATCGCAGAGCTGCTTGTGCATTCGGACATTCTGTCTCGCTCGTGGCACCAGGTCCTGCCTAGCCGCACCACAACCGGCCCCGTCGACCCAGAAGCTGACAAACCCACCCACCAATCCGCCTTCCAGTTGGACTCGTCCTTCTTTGATCTCGGCGGTGACGTCTTCAATCTGGCCCAACTTACCTGGCTTCTTGAGCAAGAAGGTCTTAAGGTCCGTCTAGAGGATCTTATTGAGCACCCCTCTTTCCTGGGTCAAATGGCCGTCCTGGCTTTGCACAACGCCAAGCACCAGGACGAGATGCCAACAGAGCTTCTTGCCACTGGTGCTGCATCGCCTGATCCTGTTGCTCGCATCGAGAAAAAGAAGACATGGTCGAAGGCCATGACCATAGCGCGAAAGTTGACTGGGCGAAACACAGTCACCAGTCGAGCTTGATATGATCAAGCGAATCCGCGAAGAAAATAGGGAAAAGCAAAAAAAAGCAAAAACAGGTGTTGGTCTCAAAATACTATAAAGAAACGACCAAAGAAAGAAGAACCTTTCCTTTGTCATTCATTATGTCTCTATGTTTATGTTGCACGTTTTGTATTCTGGTTGTCTTCATTATATTGTACGGCCTTGGCTTGTGGATTGGGTACATATGGCATTCAATCGTCTTTACTCACTATATTCTCTCTTTACGATCCTTTTCACATCTCTGTCCCTGTTTGTCTCTACTACTTTTGTGCTTGCTGCCTTCTTTGTTATACTCTAATACGCGGAAACTTGTCTATTGAATTCTCCACCCCGTAGAAAAGTAATGAAGTAGGACTCTTAGACCAGGTCCTGATACAAGCTCGCAGGAAATAATATGACTCAATCTGAGATAGCTGAAACATTGAGGGTATCAAATGCAAGGGATGGGCGTGTCGCAAACAGAAACCTGCTTGCTATCAAATGTGCCTATAACCCAGCTAACAGAAAAACATGTACAATAAAACCATATAGAATAATGATATCGCATAATTTTAAACCGAGTCTCGCGACCACGTCCCGCGCGCCCGGATCCGCTTCCCATACTTGTAGAACAGATATGGAATGGGGATGAGAGCAACGGAGATGAAGCCCAGCACGCTAGCAGCCCACGGAACACCAAGATTATGAAACATGGCAGCCGTGAAGAGCGGGAAACAGCCCGCGAACATAGAACGCAGGAAAGTGTTTGCAGCGATCGCACTGGCGGAGTATTTCTGGAATGTATCAATGAGGTAGTTGAGAGCGGCCTGGAAGATAGTGAAAAAGCCGAAGCCCATCATGACTGCACCGATATTCGGGCAGATCCAGTGAATGTCTTTTGGGCTTGTCCAACCGAAGACGAACATGCCGCCAGCGAAGAGAACAGAGCCGACCATCATGGGCGGGAGACGGGCTTCTGGGACGGGGCGGTTGTTGTTCGCTTTGAAGCGCTTTATGTAGAATTTCTGGTTGGCAAGGTTGACGCCTCCGCCCATTATAATTCCGATTAGGTAGGCGAGGAAGGGAAGAGCGCCGACGACTTGGTTCCAGCCGCGGAGTTCCTGGAAGACGATTGGGAAGGCTGCTAGACTGAGATAGAGGATGCCGTAGACGAATGAGGCGTACAGGGCCACGAGGAAGCAGATTGGGGTTGCGAGGAGTTGGAACGGACGGACGAGGTACTTGTTGCCTATTTCTTTGAGGGTCACGTCCCACTCTTCGTGGCGTGCATGGAGGGCCCAGTTGCCGCTTTCGAAGCGGAGTCGTCGCGCCTTGTAGACAAGCAGAACTGGTGGGTAGCTTTCGTCGACCAAGAGGAGGTCCATGGACAGAAAGAACATCATCATGATACCGGTGATCTGGTAGATATTAGCATGGCTTCAACTTCCGAGCCAGGGAAAACTCACATATTCGGTCCAGCGCCATCCCAGATTGCTCTGGACGATGGCACCACCCGCGATAGGCCCAATAACAGGCCCGCCCACTACGGCCATGGCGTAGCCGACAATGGCAGCTCCACGCTCTTCGGGGCTCCATATATCACTCAGGACTCCGCCGGTATTGGTAACAGGAGCCGAGCCGAAAAAGCCCGTAAAGAATCTAGTGATCATAATAGTCTGCACGTCTTTCGCGGTCGCTGTTGCGAACGAAAAGATGGCCGCGAGAAAGTACGGCGGTAAAACTGCCGTTTTGCGTCCATAGAGCTCAGACAGAGGCGCCCAGATCAACGGGCCCAATCCCAAGCCGAACAAAAGTAATGAGGTGCCGAGTGTAGCGACTTCATTCGAGACGCCGAATTCCTGGCTAATCTGTCCCTGGCCGGTCGAGTAGCTAACAATGTGATTAGTTTAATAATCTATAAACCGAGGCCAAAAAATGGACATACATTGAACTCGCCCACGTCGACCCTGCAATTGATAACGGCGATTAGCGTTATTCCACATGATGCACCATTCCCTGACCTTCCAGCGAACATACCCATAGTGGTTAATCCATACAATACGGTCGTGATAGCCTTCTTCTTGAACCCCCAGTTCAACGGTCTGTAAGGATCATCTGGCCCGTCAAAATCGACAATGACATCGGGACTTGTCTTGGTATGGGTGAGTGGGTGATTGAATTTCGCTGTCTGGCCGGGCTCTCGACTCCGGATGCGCGAGACTATTGACTGTGTGCGCTGCTCAAAGGCCGAATACCCCGATGCCGCGGTGCTTTGCTTTTCCAAAGCTGCGATTTCATCCTCCCCGTTGCGACGCGGTTCGATCTCTTCGCTAGATTTGCTGCGGTACTCATGTTCTGTCCGTTCTACCATATCGACAATTCATCGAAATGTCGTAAGACGAGCACTAGGAGACGAGATATATGAAGTCGATTAAGTTACGGAAAAGTGGCAAAATTGAATCTCGGAGATAAGTGGATATGACGGAAGAGATCTCAAAGAGATTTGGGACTGTAAGGCTGAGAGATAGGTATTTTCCACCTGGGATTTTGAATTCCTTTTATTCATTTTCTTCACTTTTTCGGAGCTCCGATGGGAAAAGCCGTGTTATCCGAGACTTGTTAGGCTTTCTCTCGGCATCCCCATTCAAACACCGAAGCTTACCATTCCGGTGTACAGGGAAATAGCTCGGCGTTGGTAGCCATTGCGCCGAGAAGACCCTAAGTTTCCCGCTACTCTTGTGGAAGCTAAATTGTATAATGGGGGAGGTTGAGGTTGAGGTTGAGGCTGAGGCTGAGGTATCCAGTCCTCGTTTTGTATATGACATTTGCTGATGTGAAAGGGAAAAGGTTTAAGACATAAAAGAACTTCGTTAAACATCTAACCCTTAACATCTACTTATACTCTATGCGTGTATGCTACACAAGACATCCAGGGCAGCTATGAACAGAAACCGTACCCAAGGATTGAAACACAATAATCATCATTAGACTGTCGGGTGCATGCTCTCCCATTTGTGAACTGCCTCCATCGCCGCAGTAACCTTGAGTCCAATACGAGCATCCAGCTCGTAACTCTCCCAGCGAGCAGCATCATCGAGGTATTCCTTACACTCGGATACCTGCTTTCTCTCGCCCTCAGTGTTCGTCTCCCCATATCCCGTGGACGCTTCGTCCGACGCCTTGGGGGAAGCAGAAATCCCATGTAGGGCCCGGTATGCGGGACGCTCCATCCAGAAGTTGGCGGCCATCTCGAAATGTGCGACTGGGTGGACCCAGTCATCCTTCAGGTGGCCCTTGAACACAGACTTGTCGTGGTTTAAGACGCGGGTCTGCAGGATCATTTTCGCCTCATCGTGTCTGTACAGGGATCTTAAAACGGCAGCCCGGAGAAGCTCCAGGATCGCCTTTTCCTCGGTCCCCTCGCGAGACCATGTCTCGTTGTTTTCGCTTTCGCACCATTCCAGCCGGGTCAGGGACTCTTGCAGCTGCTCGTTGGTCATGCGACTGTGTCCGTTCCAGAAGAAGATCATTTCTTCGATGGGGTCCACTCCAATCGCATCTACCAGAGATACGTTCCATTCTTTGGCGCGCGCCTCCCATTTGGCAAGTTTCCGAGTCACAAAGATATCAAACGGCAGTTGCCGGGCCATGAATTTCTTTTTCCCGGCAAATTCGGGGGCCTTCCGCAGGTACAGTGTGGCTTTCTTAGCATGTTCCTCTGCAAGCTTTGGATCGTTGAGAGATTGCTGGTACAGGACAACATGGCACGACCCGGCGATGTAGTAGTATAATGAACGAGACCAAGAGTTAAGGTCCACGCACTAAAACAGTCAGCTCGATGTTTCAAATCTCTAGAAAAAAAAGTTTTACCTCGATGAATGCTTCAGCACAGACATCATATTTGTGAAGAAACAGTGCGTTCAAGCTCTTTTCGAACACGCACAACGCCTCGACCTGCTTGAGCGGGCTCTTTTTGTCCGTGGACAACAGTTTCAGAGCGCTGTCCAGGTCCTTATTTGCGCCCAACATCCTCGATTCTTCGAGCAGCCAAAGTTGACTGTTGGGGAACCGAGACCGCATCTCCGCCAGCAACGCAGACAGCCTTTCCTGTGGGTATCCCTCGATGTCAGTTTCGCCAGGAGTCGGGTCGGGCATAATGTCACAGTATCGAACAAAGCCATTGTAATATCCTAGCAGTGCCAGGGCAGCCATGGCACCGATGAGGTTGTGGAACTTGCTGGCTTGCCAGAGCATTTTCAGCCCTCGTTGCTTGTCGCCGTGGAAGCCAATAATGGAAAGAAGCTTGCTAAATGCCGGTGGAACCATAGAAATCAGTAGAAGAAGAATACCAAAGCAGAAGTTGGCACCAGAGTGCACAAAAACATCGATTTCATTTTTGAAGATGTCCGAGTCAGGGTCGTGGTGGATATGCTTTGCGGGTGTGGAAGTGCCCGTTGACGCATCTGGAGACACCCCTCGCGGTGAGATCGCCAGTCCATTCATTGATGAACTGAGTTCGGTTTGCTCGACGGTAGCCGCTTTTGCGCCTGTTTTCGACGAAAGACTGGACGATTCTGACTTCGTGTCTGGGCATGCAATGCTCGAGCTTGAGAGCTCACTCGGAGTGGGCAGTCGAACTTCGTGTACATCCCTCTGCTCCATAAACTTCTCTTCCATCTTCATGATAGCGTCTAGTGCGATATACGCCTTCCTCAGCCGATAGAAAGCTTTGATGCTCTCTGTCAGGCTTTCATTGAGAACACCAACAACCGCATTCATCAATTGCGCGATTGCTTGACACAAGGCGTATTCGGTACCGGCAGCATAAATATCGGAATGGAAGGCATTGGGTGCTTGGGCGTTTTGCTGGGACCGGGTTTGGTCGCTGGCCGCGCTGGTTTCTGCTTCATAAAGGCGCTCGGATGCTGCGGAATTGTCAGAAACAGTAGATTTAGAAGATAAACAGAGCATGGACCTTGTCGCATAATCTCTTGCTCGAAGCCTAATGTCGCCCGGACGAATGCGACCACGCCTTTCCCCAACTATTCTCTCGGGAATCAGCCTATTTCCCTAAAGTATGTGCTACGTCATAGCCTAGTGACGATCACCCACGTTGTGAAAAGACGAAGTGCCCGTGGAGAGACCAGTCTCCGCCCCGTCAACATCATCATTGAGAATCAGCGTCGCCGCTAGGTGGGAATGGCATTAGTCGGTGCGTGAAGGTCGCACATTTCCCATAGGACATACCTGTCATCGCATCATGCACTGGCTCAGAATACCGTGGTCAGTATGCAATCGAATGATTCATTATGGGCTTTCATAGAGTATGTCACACAACTCACAGTCTTTCAACTCGACCTGCGAGTCCACAGACTGCGCCGGCTTCTTGCCGTACAACCAGGACCCGACTCGTAACATGGCGAAAACCCCTGGCAGTAACTATGAAGAATGAATTTTTCAATGGGGACAAAATCCACGATGGTCTCAGGTCAAGGCAATGCGATCAAGCCGAAAAGAGAGAGCGCCGGATCGGGAAGAATGTCAATATGTCAACTGTGCGATACGGAAACGCGATGGACGAGACCATCACTCATAGAGAATAGCAAAAGAGAAAAGGGAAAACACAAAGAAAGAAGTGGAGGGGTAAGGGGAGGATTACGGGGGAGGGGAAGCTGGAAGTAATATAACAACACGTCTCCATGGGCTGAGGCTCTTCCCATGGATTCTTTTCGCCGGCAGCTCCGCGCGTGGGCAACTGTTTTCTTTGATACAAGGCCAATTCCACATCGATCTGGGTATTTTGGATTATTTTACTGTGTATTACTCTCTTCCGTTCTCTTCTTCAATATCATTATTCATTTTTGTCCTTTTTCTTTCATTTGAATCCCAACGCACTGTTTCCCAGCTTTGTCCCCAACTACATCATCGTTATCGCCCTTATCGCGGTCTTACTAAGAAACCTCCGACCTCCGACTTCAAAGCTGCCACATCCACCGTCCACATCTCCACCTATCTACGTTTGATCCTCCCGGTCTATCACATCTTCCACAATGTCAAACCCAACTACTCAGAAGGCCGATGCCACAGAGCAGCCCCGGCCACAAAACCCCCAAGTCTTGGAGGAAGACGACGAGTTCGAGGATTTCCCCGTTGAAGGTATCGAGCTGACACTCAAGCGCTCCCCTCGAGGAACAAAGCTAACTCTACGACACCCAGACTGGCCCCAAGAAGAAGCTGAGCAGACCAACGGCTCGACAGCAAACGACGGTAGCGAGCACTTATGGGAAGAGAGCTGGGATGACGATGATGCGGCAGAGGATTTCTCAAAGCAGCTCCAGTGAGTTCGCCTTTCCCACACTTCCTACATTTCAAATACCCTTATATTATCCTCCTTACCTTCAACTTGTTCTTCATCTCCATATCCACACTGCCACCGATGCTCGCACTCTCCCTTGCCACTTCCCCGCCAAAACTGTCAGCTTCCCCTCCTTCACCGCACCCACTAACATCCATCACCTCGTCCAGGGAAGAATTGAAGAAAGTCGAAGCATCGGCTTAAATGATGAACCTGAACAAGCGCACCAAAAAGAGATAACCCCCGCGTCGGGTTCGGGATGGGTTCATTATCGAGTTGGCTGGCCATTCCATCTCACGCACTATACCCCCCTGTCTTTGGAACCAATGGGAGGATTCAGAACCATAATTGCCACATGCATTTGTCGGGAGCTTGTTGGAGGAAATGAGACACAGTGCTTCTAACCTTTTTACGATTCATTACTCGGACTGCAGATCTTGCTTTCGAAATTACTATCATGATGTTCTCTTTGGTATTCCGTCAATATCAAAGCTTCTGATTCTGCACAAGCCTAAGCATGGTATTTTGTAGGAGAGGGATGAACAGAAGTACCAGTCGAAGTTGCGAAATGGAGTTGTCAATGGGATTGCCACGGTTCAATCCCATCTACATGCCACTACGGCGTTATTCTCTTATATATTTGTCGTAGGGATTTCCTCTCGTCTATACACATGATAAATTACCACGGGGATCTCTTGATGCCTCGATTAAAGCTTCGGTTTCGTACCTGGGCACAACACTTAGTTATCCAATCTAAGAGCGCAATCGAGGTCTTTCTTTAAAAAAACAGTGTTTGTAATTAAAGGAAATTCATTGCCTGTGTACATTACAGTTTCATAAACATGCAGGACGGAAGGAGAGCCAATGTCGGCTCTCCCCTCGCCGCCTAGTTTTCATCATTTACTTACTGGACAGAGCAGCAACACCGGGCAGCTCCTTGCCTTCGAGGAGCTCGAGCGAGGCACCGCCACCGGTCGAGACGTGGGAGATCTTGTCCTCGGCCTTGTACTTGGCGGCCACGGTAGCGGTATCACCGCCACCGATGATGACGATGGAACCGGACTCGGCAGCCTTAACAGCGGCATCGAGGGTAGCCTCGGTGGCCTTGGCGAAAGGCTTGAGCTCGAAGACACCGGGGGGACCGTTCCAGAGGATAGTCTTGGCCTCGGCGATCGTCTTCTGGTAGAGCTTGACACTCTCGGGACCAACATCCAGACCCATGAAGCCATCGGGGATACCGCTGGCGTCGGTAGCCGCACCAACGGTGGCATCGGCGGAGAACTTATCGGCGGTGACGTAGTCAACGGGGAGGACGATCTCGACGTTGTACTTCTTGGCCTTCTCGACGATCTCGCCGACAATCTTGCTGCCGGCCTCATCGAAGAGACTGTTGCCGATCTTAACGTTCTCAAGAGTCTTCTTGAAGGTGAAAGCCATGCCACCGGTGATAATGAGGCTGTTGACCTTGGGCAGGAGATTGTCAATCAGCTGGATCTTGTCGGACACCTTGGCACCGCCGAGGATGGCGAGGAAGGGGCGGGCAGGGCTCTCAAGAGCCTTCGCGAAGTACTCCAGCTCCTTCTTCACGAGGAAACCGGCGGCCTTCTGGGGGAGGTCCACGCCGACCATGGAGCTGTGAGCGCGGTGTGCGGTACCGAAAGCATCGTCTGAATTGATGTTAGAGATAAAAGAACGACAGGAAATCGGAACATGATGGCGATGTTACATACTGACGTAAACGTCACCGAGGGCAGTGAGACCCTTGCGGAATGCATCAACATCGGCCTTGTCGGCCTTGACCTTCTTGCCCTCGGCATCCTTAGAGCTGCCCTCCTCCTCGGCGTGGAAGCGCAGGTTCTCGAGCAGAATGACCTGGCCATCGGAAGCCTTGTTCACGGTCTCCTCGGTCTGGGGGCCAACGCAGTCCTCGGTGAAAGTGACGCTCTTGCCGAGAAGCTTCTCTAGCACGGGAACAACGGGCTTCAAGCTGTACTTGGGGTTGACCTTGCCATCGGGGCGACCCAGGTGGGACATGAGCACAACCGCCTTGGCACCGTTGTCGATGGCATACTTGATGGTGGGCAGGGCACCAACGATACGCTGGGGGTTGGTAACGTTCTTGTTCTCATCGAGAGGGACATTGAAGTCAACCTATTTCAGTCGGCGGTTAGGGGCTGCAAGTAATGAAGCTCAATTGGCTAGGAGCTTACCCGGATCAAGACACGCTTGCCCTTGAGGTCGACATCAGTAACGGGGAGCTTGTTGGAGAGAGACATTGTAGCTGGCTAAGAGTATGACAATGGTAAAAGAAGCAAGAAAAGGGATAGAAGAAGGAGAAAGAACTAATCAGGCCACGGTGAGTCGCGATCAGTAAAGAGTGGAGGGGTCAGTTTTGGTGGGGCAGGCCGGTGAAGAGGTCGCAACCGTAGCAATCCAGGTACATATCGATGATGTATTCGACAGAATAAAGTACTTGTTCGAAGTATGATGCAGTCACTGTTCACTAGGTATCTCTATAAAAGCAGTACCTCAGCCGCCCGTACCCGACTATCCCCGGAGAACTGATCGGGCTGACGCGGGACTGATGTCAGAGCTGCCCGCGTTGATACGGGGAAGGCCGGACCATAAAAGGTCCTCTTTAGCCTCGGAATCGGGAAATTCTGTGGAGTCTGTCTCTACTGATGGAAACGTCCATAGCCGCTACATGCTTGAATGTTTTCCGAGTTCAACGAAATCATGTGAAGCTCAAGGGGGTTAAAAGCCGAAAGGCCGAAAAGCGGAAATTTCCTGAAGAATCCAAGTCAAATAAAAAACAAGGGTAGCAGCAAAACCTCAAGTTGGTATTCCCAAATGTGCAAAATCCGACCTTTTGAAATGCAAACCCTGCCCGTGGGCAAATACCATAGCCATGTACATGAAAGCCAGACGTGATCAACCGGAACGCCCGCAAAAATTAGCAGAAGAAAGAGCGCGATTTATAGCCTTTATAGCCCGAATCGTTATCATAATGTTCGCGTTGAATAGCGTTCAATTAGGACTCATCAGAGGAGTTAGTCAGAGAAAGATATGCGGTCCACGCAATACCAACGGTCGAGACGAATGGCTGGGTTGCGAAGTCAGTATGGATCTCATCTCGACGAGAACCTTGGAGACTCACAATCTGGAACTGAATTGGAATGACACGGAAGTTTAGGATCTGCACTGCCGGCCAGAGCACAAAGTTGGCCTTTAGGGTCGGCAGGTAGACATCACGGAACTTGTGTGCCAATGCCCTTCTGCCACCACCCTCGGCGATCGTCATGTAGGTGAAGAAGCACGCCAGGCCTAGATAAATCAGTCCAGTCCAAAAACATCTCAGAGTAGCTATAGGCAGATCATACCAAATGGTGCAAAAATGAACTGGTCAAAGGCAACACGCTTGAAAGCTGGAGCTGTCGGGTTCTTCTTGGTGAGCGGGAATGCTCTGGACAAGAATCCAAACCACTGGAACTGCACCGGCGCCATGAAGAAACCATAAGCCATGAATCTCGTCAGACGCTCAAAATCGAAAGGCGGCGATGAGCTCCGGATATATCCCAGTTCCCCTACAGCGGAGGGTTTCTGCTTGTCAAAGTCGGGAATCTCGATCGAGAGGAAATCGTCGCCGCTTGTCTGAGGTCGGCGGGTCCGGAAGGCCGTAATCAGCTGCGCAACAGTATCCGCAACACCACCAAGCACCTATAGCATCAATTTTGTCAACTGTCGATTCATACTTCGGTGGTGAATATCGCGACAAGCTTACAGCGTTGGTGACCATCGTCGTGAGCACTATTTATAGCAGTGATGTCAGTCTGTGATCCCGCGGGAACCGGCGGCAAGAGGCTTACCTGGCCTTTCGGCATAGTAGGTATTAAATTTGGCAGCAAGACGTGCTGCTACTGCCATCTCGATAAGGAAAATAATCGTGTGCAATAGAGGCTGCCAGAAAATGACAACATCATTAGCCGCTGGAAGCAAATTGGTAGGTGACAACATGCCAGGCCTTAGTAAGGGGCATCAAACATACCACGCGACCGTAGATGTATCTCTTATTCAGTCCATCCAGGACTTTCCGCTTCGCAGAGCAGATCATGTTGGAGGATTCTGGCGACTGGAGCAGAATGATAGGCAAGATTACGGGGAAGGGACCAGGTGCGCCAGTATGACGCAAATCCCAAGGGGACACCGGGGCAGTTGCAACGCTGAGAAGCTGGATATTAAACCCAATTCCCAATATTCGTAGGGAAATCCCAGATAAGATGATGATATCAAGGAAAGAAGATAGCCCTTCTCCAGATTCCCGCCTTTGACTAACAAAGTCACCTGGCCAACTACGATGCCGAGTCGATTACCCCGTGATCTCCTTCCACCAATCACATTCGTTGAACTATATTTTGCTGCCTTGCTATATCAATCTACATAATAATGACCTATGCATTCACTTGATGGATATAAATTCCATAACTATATCTCATATTCAATTCAAACAGTTATAAATATCTTTCTTTGTCAACACCGCCTCCTTGGGGCCCCAGGGGCCAGTCTTGTCACTCGGTTTCCTTCGAGCGTCGACAGCTAATATACCACTTCTCCTATATATTCACTAGACTACCGTAGTAAATGGACTATCCGTTTCCTTTCAGATATTTCTCATTTTTATTTCATTTCACTTCTCGGAGGACTATATATATAGTCCACTATCTCTTATCTCTTCTTCTAGAGAGTGGTGTCTCCTCCTTCATCCAATCACTATTATTACAATATATATAACATGACCGAGTATAAAGCGGTAAGTTGTTACGGATACCTAGGTAGATGCTTTGCAACTTTACAGAAGCAATTCGAGATTACTGAAGTACTCCCCCGTTTTTAACAACGGCAGCACTAGTGTTTCACTTAGGCAAGATCTCTGGTATCTGGCATAGCTGGTAGCTGTAGGATAGCCTGCTCAAAACCTCACCCCAAAGA